ATTATACACGTCAACTCTCTTTTTAAATCAATTTAATTTATTTGGATATTATTTTTAGATGGATTTATATATATATAATTTAAATATAGATTTAATATGTATTTCATTCCACCAAATCCAATGTTACTTATTCGTACAGTTATTTGAGTTTTTCAATTGATTTCTTTTTCAATTCTAAATCAACTTTCATTAAACTGTTTTAGTTAAAAAAAAAATTAAAAATCTAACAAATTATTTTTATGATGAATTTTTAAAATAATTATTAATAAATATAAATATAAATATATATAAGTATAAATTTTAAATTTTTATTTACTACAACAAAATTACAAATAAATTTGAAACATGCAGTGATTAGATTTTTATTTTATAGGTCTCTTTTACCTCAAATTTTATAGTACTAGTTTTTACATATAATAAAAATCATAGCAAAAGACTTAATCTAAATAATATACATATATTTGTATATATATATATATATATATATATATATACATATATATATCATCAGATTAACATTAAAAATTGCAAAAGAAACTTTCACACTTATCACATTATAACTTTTGAATTGGTTTTCAAATTTTGTAACCTTAAATATTTTATTTAATTATAATAAATATTAATATAAAAATCTAATATATATATATATATATATATATATATATATATATATATTTTAATAAGCATTAAGTCTAAACATGCTTTGAATAAGTTTAAAAGTTTTATATGATTAATTTTGGCATATATTTAGAAATTCTTAGACAAAAATTGTTTCAATATATTTGGTGTCAATTGTATGTTTTATATCAATCATAATGTAAAACATGGATAAAGTTATCATAGACTATTTTTTCAAGTGAAAAAGAGTTGATTAAAAATCCTACTTTATTTTATATAATTAATTATCTTATAAAAAATGAATACATAAACCAAATCATTATATGATAGCAATTAATTTTTAACAATATATTTAATACATAATATTTTAAAAATTTTATAAATATATATACATATATATATATATATATATATATGTATTGAAGATTAGTAAACCTAAAATTAGTTACCACCACTCAGGATTTTATCTTAATAAATTTCTAATGGTGTTAAAGAAACAAATGCTTGAGAAAAGTTATTTAAAAGAAAACTAGGATTAGATGAAGTTAAGTAGGATGAAGATGATTGTAGATGAAGTTCATCTATATTAGATGTAATTTCCTACCTATAACTAAAAGGTGTTAGAAGTAAGAGTCATCTTATTCTATACTTCATTATGTATGCAATCTTATTAATGCTAAGTGTTGAAAGTTCTAACTTTTCTATTCTTCAATAATGTATTAATAAATAAAACACACAAGTTCTTTTAGGTTTTAGTTTTTAATCAATATATATATATATATATATATATATATTTAATATATAAATATAATAATTTATTAGAATTTTAATTTTAATAATAATTCTATAATTAATAAATTCAATATGACATATATATATATATATATATATATATATATATGTACATTACATCACATTAAAATATTTTTTATAATTCACTTTTAAAAGTCTTGTTTTACCAGTTATTGTGCATATTAATCCAAATATCTTGTCTATGATTTTAATTTATATTTTTTTAAATATTAATATGATAATTTTTTTTTTCATATTAACCATGGTAACAGTTATCCAATAAAACTTATACAACTATGATATATATTTTTCATTATTAATATTATTTTATTTTATTTCATATTTTTTCTATGTATTAATAGAAGTTTTATTGTTTGCATATTTTGATTTGTAATATATAATATCAAAAAAATCGTAAATCAAAAAATATAATTCAAAATTTTATACCAAAATATTATAATCTTATATATAGCCATGTTTCATACATCTTAATAAATATTTTATTTTACTTATTTGTTGTTTATTTTTTAAACCTTAAATTGTATATAAAATAAACTTAAAAAGGCATGTTTTTATAGGCTAATACCAAATTGAAGAAACAATATTCCATGATCCTTTTGATATCTTTCTTGTATATTTAGTTTTTTATTTTTTATTTTCTAAGATATCCTCAATTATTATTCTAATCACTATCTTATAAAAACATACTTAATAATATATGTTTTTGAAAAGCTAGACACTCACTCCATCTAAAACACATTCCCTACAAAATTGCATGTGCACTTCTATTCTTCCTTTTGATATATTCTTTGTCCAAAATCTTGGATTAAGTAGCTCCAATGTCTTAAGAATTGGCTATATTATCTTATGAATAGTATTTTTAAATATTTTCTTGGTTATTATTCAAAATTTTATAAAGTAATATCAATAAATAAATAAAATCCTAATCCTTCTAACATAAATTAAATTGTTTTATAATGATATTTTTTTCTTTTTTAAGTAATGTATGCAAGAAAATATTCTTTGATTGTGAAAATAAACAAATCATAATTCTTTTCTATAAAAATTTATCTACTTACACTATTATTCTAAAAATAAAAATTTTAAATTTTAAAATGCTACGAAATTCTAATTTTCATATTTAGTAATTGAACTGTGTTTTTATTTTTATATAATTTTTATGATATTTTATAACTTACATAAAAATATAATGATTTAATTTCTTTTATATTTAACCATCTCAGAAAAAAAAAATCTAGATTTATATATTATATAAAAAATTATTCTAATATGCCAATTTTAATTTTTTTAATTTTTTTCTTTTAAAATTTAAAACATTTAATAATTTTATGATGAAATTATTAATTTTAAAAGATTAAAATATTTTATATTTATTTATTTATAATACTATTTAAGACTTTGTTGTCACTTTTAGATACTAATCTTGTAATGTAGCATCAAAATATTTACAGAAAAAATAAATCAAAAATAAAATTATAATATCCATAGCATATATATTATATTTTAAAATTTTATTATCTAAATAAATTTAAATTTTATTTACTAAAATTAAATTAAATATTTTATTTTAAAATATTCAAAATATTTATTTTATAAATATGATTTATTTGTGGATATAAATTTGTAATATTCTTTCTAATTTAGAATTTTATTTTATTTAAAATAATAAAGTTTTATAGTTTGATTTAATAAAGTTTTATAGTTATATTTAAAATAATAAATTTTTATAGTAATTTTGTAGTTTGATTTTTTAGTTTTATTTTGTTATTTGATTTTAGTTTTATGTGTTTATTTTTGTATAATTTTTGTATAATTTTTGTTTAACCTTTTGTGAACAATGTTACAAAAAGCAAATTGCACATTCACAATGAAAAATAATAAAGAGAAATCAGATGTACATAGATGCAATATGTGCATGATTCACTTCCTCTGAAGCTACATCCGTGTGAGAAATCTCTAACTTTCACCTTTATTGGTGCCAAACCCAAGGTACAATATGCTCCCTCTAAACTCACTTCTATATTGGAAAATCTATTCAACACACTAATCCTTGACTCTAAGTCCGCTTAGCACTATATACTGTTGGGCATACCAAACTATAAATCCTAAACTTGATTCTATATTTTGACATTTCTATGCCCATGTTGCATGTAATTTGTACCCCCCACTCTGCACTCTGCATCCCAAGTGAACATTAATATTTAAGAAAAAAAACCATTGACTATCAATAAATGAATGTTGGTCGAAATACAATTGCATAATTAAAATTTCTATGTATCTTTTTAACATGTTATTAGAAACTTGATTAGTTTTTTTAACTTTATAAGATGTATTTGTTAAAAAAAGATTGAGATCACTTAAACTTTTATTAATGTTTATTTTTATTTTTTAAATTATTTGTCTTGTGGACTACAAAGTTATTGTTTCTTGTGTAGCTATTGTATTGTTCTATTGTATTTTAGCATAATAAATATGTATTATTGTCTTGAGATTCTCAAGTTTGATGCACAAAGTTTTGTTTTTAACAATTGAATCAAATTAATTTTTTCTATTGTTGAGATGACATAATCTTGGTAATATATAGAATATGCTTAATTTTTTAAATAAATAAATAAAAACACACACACAAGTAATTTCTAGCTTTTACATAGATGTTATAAATGACTGTATAACCAATTTGCAGTAAAATAAATAAACATATCTTTAATTGTAACACTGTTCAACACACAAAAACATCTTTGTTTAAAAGCTTCACCCAAGAGAAACTCAGCAAACAAATTCAAAAATCTGGTTTGCATGCTCTGTTTACACACACTCCGTATAGAACCTTTCATTCAAACCACAAGAAACCAAAAACTAAACTTATTAAAATAAACAAATAGATAAATAAATAAATAACCCAAGAACCACAACCAAAAAAGGCAATCGCTAACAACCGGAGTGTTAAAACCACAGCAAGAGGAACTATGCAGAGACGCAGTGGAAAAGTAGGAAAGGATACTTTTAAAGAAAAGTAGAAAAGTAGAAAAGGAATTGCAAGGAAGGAGAACTGACTTCCGACAAGAGGGCGTTGACGGCGAACGACGAGGAGCATGAGGAAGCAGAAGAAAGACTGACTGACTGACTGCAGCAAAGAATGGCAGCTTTGGTAGGGAGAACGAGAGAGAGACAGACAGACAGAGTCAGAAATAGAGAGAGCGGAGGAACAAAAGGTTTGGATGGATGGGCCAGGCACTGCCTCTGCCATTAGCATTAGCACTAGCACTGCACAGCCCAGCCCAGCCCAGTAATGGTTGGTTCCATGGCCCCCGTGGATCATCCAGGATTTGCAGATTCCCATGCACCACCACCACCATTTCTCCTGCTCTGCACCGCCGCAAAGTCTCCACATCAACGGGAGGGGAGTGGGGAGGGGAAGAGGATTCACCACCCCCTTCCCAGGCTGAAGCAGACACCTCTGGCGTGTGGTTCCCATCATCCTCATCTCCTTGCTGATGCTGGATGCTCACCGTGTCAGCGGATGCCAGATGCGAGGGCGGGGGGGGGGGGGGGGGGGGGATATGCAACATGTTGCCAGTCGGATCGTCGATTCGACTCCAGTCCACAGCAGGAGGTGTCCGCGGTTCAGACTAGCTGCAGTGAAGGAACTCATAGCTTGCTAGTTGAGAGTTGCATTACTCGGCAATTCAGGCCCTGGGCTGCTGCTTCGCACGCTCTGATGATGAGGATCCGGCGTGGTGATCATGCCAGCATCTCAAACGACTGGGTGGTTGAGTTGCTTACACGAGCTGGGTGCGAGGATTCATGGTGCAGTCGGAGATAACTGACAATCCCCGCGATGGGCCTGGTACCTGGGAGTCCCAAAAGTCAGTCAGGTTGGGAGATTTTTTGGGGTTCTTACGTGGGAGCGGCGGGGCGGAGCACCTGTGGCAGGGTCTATGGGGGTGGGCCACCACGTGGTTATCTGACACACGCTGTGTTTGAGCAGTGGCACCAATGCCCTCGATCGCCGTGCGGCATTCCTGTGGATCTGCTCACGCATTCTGATGCTCTAGACTGATGCCCAGGAAGCTCTAGCGAATCTGCCTCCCTTGAAGGCCTTGATTAGAGGATCTTAGAAGTCGTTTGGTTATATCATCGCTTGCTTTCGGTTCCATGCATTCTTCAATATCGATACGTGATGGATGATATCTAAGGACTTTGCACTGAGTCGAGAGCATCATTAGTTGCAGTCACAGCATCTGCATATTCTTTCGAAGCTTGAAGTGTGTTGTACCTGCTTTCCTCGGTTTTTAGTTGAGTTAAACACTGTCATCACCAGCCAGAAAGAGAATTTGTGATTATTGTGTGCATAATTGGTTGTGTTAGTTTGACGTGTTGTCCTGCGTGAGAGTGAATGATCGCCATGGACCCTTGGGAGAGGCGGTTCGAGTTACCCAGTGTATCAGAGGTATATGCTTGCCGAGGTTCTCGTATTCTTGGATCCATTTTCCAAAATCGGTTGAATATGGGAGCATAGAAGCTTCAGGAATTGCTGGTTTTAAGAAATGAGTCTCTCTATTTGACGAGGGAGCAATCAGTGAGTCTTCTGTTTCTTCGGTCTGGATTTTGTAGGTGCACGTGTATAGGAATGACCTGACAGTGTTAATATATCTGTGGTCAGGTGTTTTATGGCGCCCCTGAACCGACATATTTCGTTAATGCAGAGCCTTACGGTTTCCAGGGAAGACCGCACGTGGTGCCTGTTTCGGATTACCGCTCCCGGGACGACAGTCCCACTCGATATCGCACTCGTGCGCTTGTTGCTCCTTCATCAATGAAAACTCACGTGGTTCCTTCCACCAAATCTGTGAACAACGTGCGGACTCACCCTAAGGTATGCCCGCACCTTCCATCTCCTGTCATCGTTTTTGGTACGAACTGTGACTACGGGTTCAAATCATGCACTCATGACCTGTTTATCTGCTGTATTGTGTTGAGTTTATACCTGTTCATGTGGATGTTTTTTTCCCCCTTTCTTCAGGGTTTGGTTTTGCAAGTCCCAATGTGCTGCGATAAATGCGTGGAGAAAGTGGGCAAAGCCTTAGAAGACCTTGAAGGGGTTAGCGACGTGGTGTGTGATCAATACCAGCAGAAAGTCGTCATTTCTGGGGATGTAGACCCCGAGGAGGTTCTGCACAGAGTGAGGCGAGTGAAGAAGAAATCGAAGTTTTGGAGGATGGCCACTCAACCCATCCAGTACTCTGGAAACCCCGCCTTTGGCCAGGTCCACACTAAGCCTCAAGTTAATTTGTACCGTGCTCCTGGATATCATACGTCGGCCTACCGTGCACCTACTTCAGCGTATACTCGCTACCTAAGTCCAACTCGCTACACGTCGTCCTACTTACGACATTACAGTTCTCCATACATCGACAGTGAATACAGATCAGGTTATATGGAACCCCGCTATGGCTCTGTGTATGACAGACTGGCATTCGACGACCTTGAGTATCATTCGCGACTCGACCGTGGCACTCCTTATTTTCAGATGAACGATGTATAGCCCAGAATGGGTTATGTAAATTCCTTAGCCTTTTTTTATATTATCACCACATACCTACTTTTTGGAACGGGCTCGGAGGATATGGTGCTTTCTATGCTTCTATAGCAGCACTGATTGGTACAAAATAATATATAGGTTTCGGGTGGAGAATACAGAATGTGCAGTCAGTTTTCCACTTCGCCCTCGAAGCTCTTATGGAGTTCAATGTCTCCACAGTATGTGTCATTGGGAACTGGGAGCATGTGCTCGGCGGAAGTTGGAATCCATGGTTGAAGTGCTCGCGACGATCGCCGAAGATTTTGTGCTGGAATGGCGACTCAAGCATTATGATTTTCTTTACAGTTACAGGGATCAGTGGCATGACCTATGAGGTAAAGGCAAATTAAACTTCAAAGCTTTGATGGCGTTGGTGAGGAGGAAGGTGGTGGGTTGCATCGATGCATCTTCACCGGCGAGCTTTGAAATTTGTGAGTTGCAAGCCGAGGGACTGTTCTACAACAACTACGAAATTATTCGCGGTTACGACGTAAGATTGCTGCGGCAAACGTGGTAAGGTGGATATAGCGAGTTTGGTGTAGGGCGATACAGCTTGTGTCTCTAAAAAGTAGGCATTCAGATATTTTTCTCTCAAATACTGCTGCTGCTGAGGTTGAAAGAATTGAAATAGCTGTGAGTAGTAGGCCGACTACTGTAGACACTTAGGAAAGAGTTCGACTTGGGTGGAGAAGTGACTAGCTGTGTTTGGAAGCCCTCGTGTGGGAGTTGTATGTACATATTGCTCCTGTAAAGGTATGTGGTGAACCAACGTGACGGATTAGAAAATTTGAAACTCTTTTTCAAGCACATGGATAGTTGAACGCGACTTGGTGTTGATCAGATGGTGTTGTTCCTGCTTTGCGTTCATGGAAGCTTTGCTGCATGCAGCGCGACATTTCACACACTATTTTTCGCAAATCCATTCCAGAAGAGGATCGACCGTCATATGAAACTGCAATGTGTCACTTATTGCACAAATGTAGCATACTTGCATGTTATTATTCAACCTCAAACAAGTAATTGGTGTATATGCATTCAATAAGTTCTGTTCATGCCTCATGATTTAGATTCTTGTGCTATCTTCCCCAAATGTAGGACTTGGACACGAGGAGTGGTATGAAATTTAAGTTCAGCAAATATACTAGGCTCTTATATGCGATGTTTAAGTGCCACTGGATTGAAGGAGCATGAAGACGCTCCAGTTGAGCTGAATGGATTGCAAAAGACTGGTTGAGGATTGGAATCTTCCAGGCCTTTCTCAAGAATGTATTGAAGGTTTGGCATGAACTGCAAGGTATCCAATCTTCTAACTCATCTTTTCGATCCAGCGATGCGAATTACACCAACTTCGGCGATCAACTTGCCCCATCTCCTTTCCCATAAATTTGCATGGTCTTCAATTTGTAGTGCTGGTGATGGATTCAGTACTATCTGCGTGAGTTCATGGAATCTTGGCAGTTGCTCCAAGTGCTATTCTAAGAAGTTACCAAAAGTAGCTAGAAATTAAGAAGCGGCAGTTACATATTTGGTATTTCTTCTACTCACTGTGTATGAGCAGCTGTGTTTATGTAGCACACCAATAGTGCTTCACTGCTGTTCAATCACTTCTTGCCTTGAAAACGCTGAGTTGGTGTTGAAGATGTGGAGATGGTGCAGGTGATGCCAGATTGGGAGACTCTGGCACCACGAAGCTGGAAACATGTCCATGAGCACATGCGGCAACAACAAAGCTCATAGTGTACTATTCCAACTGTTGCATATTTGATTTGTATTCATTTTCAAGCCTATAGTTGCATCTTTGAGGTTGATATAGCTAAGGTTATTTTTGTACTTGGCTGATATGTAACAATTGTCAATGAACTGCACATAGTTTTAAAATATCTTAAATTAAGTTCTGTTGCATTTCATAAATGTTATTTTTATTTAGTAAAAATTATTTCTTAATGTCAACATTCAGTCTTTTTTTGTAAAACATAAATAAATTTTTACAAGAAATAATTTTATCCCAAGAATATGATTTTAAAAAATAAATCATCATTATCACTTTAACATATAATTATTTTTAGCCATTTTTAAATATAAAATATCATTTTAAAATTTATTCCATTAAATTTTGTATATATTCCATAACATAATTTAAATACAGTTGTAATAATATATTTCCTTCATTGGTTAATATCTTGTGTTTAAGAAAAAAAAATAATTATCAAAGGTGGTGTTGGACCAAAATCTTATGAGCTGATCTCAAGCGGCATTACAGAGTTAGCTTCTGTTTATATTAAAAGCCTTGTTGTGAATTTGAATTAAGTAGTTGATATAATATTAAGCCATGAGATTATCAAACTTTACAAATGGAAATGACTTCTAATTGTTAGCATTTATGTGAAGTTGAGTGGAAGTATTATTGTGTGATGTGAATATAAGCTCACAAATGCACTATACTTTTGGCTGTAGAAGGGTTTCAACTTATCCCAAAGTTGTATTTACAATCCAAAAATGATATATAAGGTGTTTAAAAACACCTTTTTGACAATCTTAAACTACCTAAGCAAGCACTTAAATATTTTAAGTAAACCTTATCAATCCTAAAAAAATCTTGCATATATCTTATCCAATTCTAATTCATCCAAATAAACCTTAAATAATTTAGAATGATCCTTATTAAATACTAATCAATTTTTTATTAAATTCTAATAAATTCTAATGGAATCCTAAGAAAATCCTAATTAAATAATAAAAATTTTAAATCAAATTTCAATTAAATATTAATTAAATCCTAATTAAATTTCAACAAATCTTGATGGGATATTTAAAATAAACCCTTATTAAAGTCTAAAAAAGCTCTAAGACAATTCTAATTGGATCCTAAGAATTCATAACCAAATACTAAATAAATATTAAATAAAACCTAACAGATTCTGATAAAATTCTAATAATAATCTCAAAAAATCTTAAATAATTTTAAAATAAACCAAAATAAAACCTTATTGAAATTCTAGTTAATTTGTAAGAAATTATAGTTAAATTTTAATCAAAGTCTAATTAAATCTTAAAAAATTCTAAATTAGATCCTTTAGCAAACTGAAAATCTTAGTCATTAGCAAGTTAACCATTTATCTTGATTCAAATTTTGCATACTTCTCAAAATCTTAGTTGATAACAACCACACAAAATTTGAAGAAAACTGGATAAATAAATTGGGAGAAAAAGCACCTAATTTGCTCAAGTATTGGCATTTTTCTTCTCTAATCTTGATGTCTATATTCCAGCATATATATATATATATATATATATATATTTGTAATGTTCACTTGTTCTCAGAATCTCCAAATTAAATAAACTTATAGTTTTTTAAAAAAGCTGGTTTTATTCAACTAGAAAATTCTTTAAAATCATAGAAACCCTTTCTAACTCTCAAATTCCAACTCTCAAGATCCTACCTCACTTGGAATTTTATAGCTTTTAATCTAACCATTTTTATTAAATTTAAATTTATTATACACATACAATGCAACTATATTTTCAAATCTATAAAGTTTAAATCATATATTTTCTATAAGACTCACACAATTTTTTCAAATATAAATACTTTTTTATTTCACAAAAGTCAAAGTCATCCAAAACAATCATAATTTTTTAAGGTTCTTACAAAGTCATTACATATTCAAGTCATCCCAAATTAATTTTCAAAAATTCCTATCATATTTGCTTTGTAAACCAACTCTTTGATAAACAAAAGAACTCTCTCTTTGCCATGGGTCCATGTTTTTGTGCCATAGGCTTTGTTTGCAACCTTGATTCACAACCAAACTTCTTTGGGTAATAATCTAAGGATTTTTTAGATAAATTTTGCTAAAAACTATCCTTTATCTTAATCTATAGATGCTTGCAGTATCATTTTTTTCGAATCTACCGTATTTTCTCTTATTTATGGTCATAAAAAAATAAGTAGAAATTTTTTTAATAATAAATTCACCATTGGCTAAAATTTTTGTTACTATTGAATATTTTGCTTATGATTTCAAAAATAAATATCTATTATATTTTTAATAAATTATTTTTTTAAATTATTGGTATTCATGTATTTTTTTTACCAAATAGACATAATACAATATCCCAACATTGAGCAATCTCCAGGAATTTTCATACGCAAAGGAATCACATTAGAACTTGAAAGTGAAATCAATGACCATGTTAAGAAGAGGCTTCTTGGCAATAAGATTATTGTACATCCTCTAAAGTCAAAGACCAGGACGATCGATGCCTGCTCTCCAGCCCCAACCCGACCCGGTCCCGATCCGACCCGACCCCAACCCGACCCGGTCCGACCCAACATCCACCAACCAACCACATGACCCTCCCTCCCCCCGAGACGGACGGATAAGATCATTCATCCACCAAGTCATCCACCTCTTATTGTCGAGATTCATCCATTCGGCATCCATTTTCCATCCATGGGGGGTGCCAGGGCAGACCACGTTACAGGCAGACTCCTCTTGCGCCTGCCTGCCTGCCTTGATGCCCTGCTTCCTTGCCTTCCTGCCTCGTGGACCACGTCAAGCTCCTCCCTCCGGGGCCCTGGTTTGGTCTGCGTGAGCTGGTAACCAAGCGAGACAGTGCAGCAATGGAGTGGAGTGGGATGGGATCATGACTCATGACGTCATGGCAGCCGAACTCAACTCATCTCCGGAAGGGGGGGGGGGGTCACAAAGTGAGACAATGGATAGTAGGATAAGAACAGAAATCTTTAGAAATAGATTGTAAACATTTATTGAATCCAATATCCCATCTGTCACAGTGTTAATTGTTTTTAAACCACAAGTTTTCATAAACAAATCTAGAGTTTTTTTTTTAAAATATTTTATCTGTACAATTCTCCTTATCTATTTGCCTACCACATGGATACTTAGAGATTTATTTTCCTCTTGTTTGTTCACACTTTTTGCGATCTTTTTTACTGAAGAAGCTTCATAGCTGATTTTTAGAAGGCACATAGCAAATAAATACATCCATGAGCTTGCCATCTCCTTGAGCTGTATCTATGGAGATTTTTTTCCTGCTTTGATAAGACAAATGATCTATATGTTCAAAGTAATATAATTACCCACATATTTAAAACAGGTTTGAAGGTGAACCCGAAATCCTAACCATCAACCCATGACTGCACTAAAACGCGGCAAACACAGTTTCGAGGGCTCTCGAAATTTCCTTCGCCGCTGATGTTTCTGCGCTTTCACCGACAGCTGTGCTGCAGCGGGGTCCCGGCGACGGATGACGAAGACCTGTTGGCAACAGTCTCAACAGTGATCATATCGTCACCGATCGAACACGATCAACTGTTTCGAAGAGTAGACTTAACGCTTAAGCTGCAGGAGAGTGAATTCGAGGTGGTCTTGGGAAGTCCGTCAAGGTCTCGATGAAGAAGAAGTAGAAGACGAGGAGGAGGATGAGGTAGAGAATGGCAGTGGTGACCATGTTTCCCAAATCCCCACGTCGTCAACACAAACATACCCAATCCAACTCCGCGAGCTGTAAAGATTCCACCGCGGCTTTCAGAGGCATTCGTTTCATCGCCTTGATTCCAGTCTGGGTAAATCCAGGGGAGAGGATAGGGATACTGTCGGTTTCGGCGATCTCGAGTTGAACGGAAGCTCAAGAGTTGCTTTGTGTAGGGCTTACGGACCCCAAAATTTTGAAGAGAACAAAAGCGTGCGAGAAGTCTGAAAAGCCTTGAGAATCATGTGCCGTCTGGTTTATCCCTGATGAACAGCAGCCTTCATGATCCTGGACTGTCTCCAGCAAGAGCGTTGTTAGACGACAGTCCACCCTACGCAAGAGCAGGAAGCTCGGGAGGAGGGAAAGCTAGAGAGCTATTGGGAGAGACTGCCGACCCCACGGCCTGATTGCTGCAACTTTTTCACTTCTTTATTCCTCCATCTGTCACAGTTTTCAACCAGACCTCTCTCTGAACTGGTCCGCAAGCCTCCAACGTACTATCATTATTCTCCATGTATCAAATCATGGCCACAGGAATCCGTTATTTTTATTTTTTTTATTTTTTATATAACGATATGAAGTCAGCGTGGGCGACAGGTGTGGAGGGGCTGGCGACATTCATTGGTCGACAATTTTTATCCTTTGTTTATAAACATGCCGTCGATTGTTTAATGTTGAATCAGCTGCCCATCTGTTGATGGGTACCGGGGTGTGTTGGTTGTGATCTTGGAGAGGGGTAGATCGTACTGCATTGCGATGTTTTTGGTGCCTGAGACGGAGAAGGTGAGTGTTGGAAGCAGGTTGTGCATTGTTGGAGGTTTGCAGCGTGATGAACAAACTCAACTGTTAACCGATACCGCTCAGTGTCGCTACGATGCACAGATTTTTTGGTGAGCAAATGGAGCATCGATGCTTGGTTCAGAGTTCCTTTGGTAGCGTATACTTTGTGAAATTTCCAGTGCAGTTTAGCTTGACTAGCAGGTAATTCTTGCAGTGTGGAGTCTCATCTGGATTTGAAGGTTTTGACAGTGTCGACGGCTCCTTGCGGATGGTTGGGGTTCAGCGTCGGAAAGTTCCTTTGGAGTGATTCTGATCTATGGTTCGTGGGGATTAAAGCAGTAGCTGGAGGACGAGACGACGTCATGAACAGCTGGAATTCAGAATCTTAACTGAGATTCTTGCAATAGATTATCACCTCTCAGGAGTGGAGGTGTGGTGTGGAGGCAGCAGGAAGTGCGATCTTGCTTCTGAACATCAGTATGACCCATGAATATATTGTCTGGGGCTGCGGGCATGGCCAGAACGCGACGGCAATTTTGCTCTTGATGGTGGCTATGGCGTGCATGGGTGTTCCAGTGACGGCTCAAGTTCCATCTCCAAGCATACCTCCAGAGTCGCCCAGCCCGCCTGTGACTTGTAACTTTGCAAACACCTCAACAATCTCGAGTAATTGGTGCAATTATAACGAACAGTCCAGCACGGAATCGCTGACTCTAGGGTGTAAAAGTTTCTTGACGAATTCTAGTGTGCCCGCTCCGAGTACAGAGTGCTGCCAAGGTTTTAACAGCATCGCAAACAAAAGCACCGCTTGCATATGCATGGCGACGTTCTACCCCCCTGCAACTCATAATATGACCCGGCAGTTGGAACTTCCTAGGCTGTGTGGTTTGAAAACTGATCTGTGCGGACAGTGCCCGACATTTCTCGTGTCACGCTCGAACGCAACTGCTTCTCCATATACTGGTGAGTGTTTTTTTCTGATTGATTGTAGTTCTCTCAGTGGAGGTGAAACAGATTGTGAAGTTACTTTCAGGGGTTCGCTTCTCGCTCGTTTCATCTCACTTCCACAGCTCACTTCGCAATTTACACATCGTTTATCAGCCCCTTTCTACGATTCGTTGCGCCTTGGTGCTTTTATCGGCCTAGTAATCGAGGTCTTCGAATGAAAATTTCCTCGCAGAACGAACAGAAAAGCTTACATTTACGGAAGGTTCAATATATAGAACAGTTACAAATGTGCTACGTAAAGTCTTCACCTGGAAATAAACCCACCAGTGGAGAGGTTCTTAGTATCATTGTTTCGACTCTTTGCTGAATTGGTTGTCTGTTAATAAACCTGTTTGATATATGTTGGCGAAGCGGACGCACCCAACTCGGCAGGAAGATCAGTGGCTTCGACAGTGGGAGCCATTTCACTTGCGGTAGTGTTCGGATTGCTTCTGGTGGGTGGCATCATCACGATGATCATAGTATTCATCAAGAAACGGAGAGCGAAGAAGAATCCTCCTGGAATTTTTGAAGCTCCTCCACCTGGGGGAGCATTTTAGCGATTCGATGCATGAGGTAATGCTCTCGAAGTGCACTTCGTCATTTGAATGACATACACCGAGCTGTTGCGTCTGCACGAGTGTAAATATGTTCTGAAAGATTTTATTTCTGCGTATGAGAGAGTTTCTCGCCAAGAGCCCATAGCGACTAAATTTAGCTTATGAACTATTTGCACGTCGCTTAATTAGTCGTCGTGGATTCACAGTAAGCATGTGATACTGCTAGATTCCACTTAGTTCTCAATCACCCGGATTCTTTTCACATGAGAGTGTGCATCCTCTTATGAGACGGCAATGTAATGGCTCAGACCCATTTTTGCACTATTTGCAGCATTTGGATCGTATATTGTGGAGATTCATCTCATAATCCTCACGACCTTCACGTCTGTCGGTCAATCAACCCCGTCATTTCTCCTGTCGACAATACAAGCGAAACTCTTTACTCTTGCCTTTCGACATTCTGCACTTGTCTACGATTGAGATGATGATTGATTTTTTCTCGCTGAAGTCATCTTTGAGTGGTTCCTTCCCAAGCCTGCAAAATGCAAATGACTTTGACATCATCTTGCGGTTGGTTCATTGATTCCAGAACCCTAAATTGTCACCAAAGTTCTCGCCTTTGCGGGTCGTATGCTGAAAGGGATACTCTTCGTTCACTTATTCCTGCCTCTCATACTCAGATCCCCCTCATGTTTGTCCAAGTCCGCTGCTCCGCGCCGCAGCCACCATGGTCTCTAATCATAGTGAGAAAAGAAAAGATAATAGAAAAAGGAAAAGAGTGAGTCAGACAAGTGAAGGAAAGAGATTAGCAATTTATGTGTTACTTCATACATACATACATACATACATACATACATTTCTTAATAGCACAACTTGGTGTTCAAGAGAATTTGGTTTTTAAAATTCAAAATTCATTTTTTGATATTGAAGTCATTTAATCCTAAGAATTAATAGTAAATATAATATTATATGTTATTTTATTTACCAACATCAAGCATTTAAAATTTTATTTGTTTTTTATTTTTTATTCTGGAATAAATAATGTCAATTTTCTTAAAAAATAATCATGTCTTTTATTTCGGTCCTTGAAAGTTTTATCAAAAATATTATATTGTTATGTGTTTTTAAGACTTAAACCTTTAGACCTAGAGATGTGTTAATACTTAACTATTAGATTCATATGTTAGACTTCTTTGGCTACTATATTAGTCTTAAAAACAAATCAAATAGTTTGATCAACTTGTTAAAATAAATAAATTAAAAATAACATACATACATACATACATACATAATCAACAAATAGGCAAGATTAAAATACTGAAAATTACTTTTCAGTATTTTCAGAACACCAAATGACACACCTTGGAATGCAAAACAAACAAATTATAAAGCCTTTTTCCCTCGAAATATTAGTTTTGAAAATGATCTAGAAAACTGGTTTTAAGCCACAATTCCTAAGTACAGACAATGTGTGAAAGAATTTACATTATAATTTGCACAATTTGCTAAACCCATTTTTGGATAATTCTTAAAGAAGAGAAGAAGGTAAGAAAGAATAGTACGAAAAAGATGGAAGGTGAATCAAAAAACTTGCGGTGTGCACATCAGGGACAAGCAACTAATCCCTCAGAAGCTCTGCTAAATTCAAGTGTTGACAAGACATGGTGAGTCTCATCAAAGATACCAAAATCAAATCTAGTACATGCGACAAAACAATTCAAAATCTAATCTTCTTAATGTTCTCACAACTAACTTCATGTACAAGCTGTGCAAACTCCAATCTACTGGCACTCGACCATCTTCATCATACACAGTTCATTAAAACTAATTAAAACTAACTTAAACCGGTGACAAACATGTTGTCGAGAAATTCAAGTCTATCCTCACCTGTGCTTGAAGTCAGTCCATGCGTGTGAAGCCATGTGCGTCCACCACAGTTTTACAGTGACCCTGAACAGCCAAGTGGGACTGCAGGCCATGGACCTCTGGGAAGCTGCATAACGGAAGAAGATGCTACATATCAATTAGTTTGGAAGGAATCATGTGACAGAATTCTACTTGAATTTGACAGAAGTTGGTTTCGGTACAATTCGGTCAGCTACTAAGTTTCCAAATCACTAATCTTATTGGTGGGAATTGAGGTCAGTAACTTGCAGTGCTGTTGTGAGTGTGGCAGAAGTTACTATAAAGCCGCGGTAGCTGCTAGAGAGTGAGAGTGGTTGGCTGAGCCTTGAAGGCCGAGAGTATTGTAGCTATCCAGGGAGCCTCATACTGGTATGAAACTCCCAGGATTTGCAGAGCTAGAGTTAACCCGCAAGTTGGTAGTCTGACCTTGTGAACTCGAAAGAGTTCCAGAGTCAAGTCCATGATGTTCCGCTTGGTGTTGTTTACTGTACTACTCGGGGCATGGGGGTACACCACACAGACAACGGGCATAATTGTATACTCCGGGATTTTCTACTGTTCTGTCGGTGTGTTACACCGCATTTATGAGGATAGTGAGGATTTGAAGGAGCATGATTTTCGTAAATGTGATTGGGATGAAGATGGGTTTCGATATAATGATTTGGAGGGTTAGGATAAATTCGAGAAAGGAGAAATTTTCACACATGATTCCTGTGCACTTCAGAAATGTCAAATTCCTTCGTTTCCCTCACTAATTGTACATGCAAGAGGTTTGAAAGGCTACACAGCGGTGTTTTAGGAGTTAAAACATGCCGCCGTTGCCTACAAACGATTGTGCGTTCCTGCTCTTGTTTGACTACAGTGGCGGCACCACCGACTCTGGCACCACAATTAACCGGACACAGACAACCGCACGCACACTAGTGCGTGAGAAATTCTGTGAGGCTACAAGCCACCCGACATCTGAATCCGACTTCCACTTTTTAGACACCAGCTTTTATCTCACCACCGCAAGCTGAATTGGTGCGCCCACCATGACGTTGAATTTTTAGAGCGATGCCGGCGCGGGGCTTCCCCTTTCTAGTTACAATGTTCCAATCATGCAAGAACACATGTTGCTTGGCTTTCCCCTCACCTTTAGCCCTCCAATACATGGCAACGTCCTGCGACAAAGATTTCGCGCCAAATATGACAATGTACATCAGCAAATTAAGTACTTTCCGGACCAATATTCCTGACGAATTTGACAACTCAGCTTATCTCCACGAGTTTACGAGATAGTGGAGATCTTTAGTGCACAAGGAACTTCACCACCGTGAGATCCGAACTTGCAGTACTCAAAATGAGCAGCGATTTCACCGACTCAAGTTGTTGACATATTTTGATGTTAATTAGCAGAAGAAACCACCTGCTTCCACTCTCTACTTATGCTGACGTAATGGGAAGATAAAACGGTAGAACAAGAATGCAAACTACCCAAACAAACTAGCCTTACAGGTGCTAGGAAACAAGTTGATGTTGAGATTTATACACAAAGCAACTCAGGCACAAATGTGGTGTCATCTACTGGTTTCAGAAAGCATTATGAACAATTCTTCATCCGTGATAGCACCTAGCTTCTCCACTGCACACTCCAGCGGAGTTTTTCCCTCTTTGTCTACGGCACCCGCCTTCGCCCCTCTGCGGACCAGCGAGTTTATCAGAAATACAGCTCCGCAAAACTCTACTTTTGATGGTTTTCACATCCCGTGACATGATTTACGGGTTAAATAGTAAAGAACAGTTTTCACACATGCAGTTGAGAAAATTACCTTGTGAGCAGGAGCTTTGCACACGAATTGTTGCCGCACAAGACACAGTGATGAAGAGGAGTTCGACCCAGGGTATCCACACAATTGATTTGCGCCCCGTATTGAAGTAGCAGCTCGATCAGGCTAATATCTCCGATTTGGCAGGCAACATGGAGCAAACTGCAGCCCCGCAAATCTTTCTCATCAATCCCTCCGCTGCCTGCTGCATCAGGACTTCTCGAAACAGGGCTTAAAGCTCCTGAACGGGACCCCGGATCGTCTGGAGAAGACAATAGTGAAGGTACGCTCCAGTTCCTGCGACCACTCTGAGAGGCACTGAGAGAGTTCTTTCGTAAGAGAGCTCCAGCGAGGCTTGCAAGTGGAGACGACCACGAAGACTCGGTACCACCCATTACTTGCTCGAAGGTTGTGTTGGCGTTAGCATCAGCAGTGATAAGAAGACGAAGAGCAAGCTGCACTTTTTTGTTCTGGACAGCATCCCAGATCTGCCGTGTCACTGACGGGCCTCGAGAATCCACCTTCAACTTTTGGACAAATTTTTTCTCCACATACTGCATGTGAACCAACATGGCAACCATCAGATGAAGTTTCACCTCTGAAGCTGGTTGCATGAGCGTATGTCAAGGCTAAATATAAAAAATAAAAATAAAACCAAGAGGCCAGAAAATCAGATGACACAGACGACAAACCAGAGTACTCTTAAACCTCTTGCTATGCAAGGCTTAAGATGGGACGAAGTCTCTCCTGCTGGCCTAAGGATTCTACCTGTTGTGCCAATTGGGTGCTTTCAACTAGAGTGCCGAAATCAAATAAATCTGATAGGATACTATACATCACTGACGCAACTTCTTAGCATGATGGAAGAGAACCCACACTAATGTCTTTATACTCAAAAAAACTGGATTACCTCTCAATTCTGAGAGTGGATAGGCACTGACCTTTGCATTGATAAATCTTTCTTTGATAGGTATGGGGTCTCTAGGTCTTGGCCTTGCTCTGCTAGCACTTAAAACGCCCGATTGTCCCTCGTCATTAACGTTTCTGAAAATAAATTTACCAGTCATATGTAAGTTGGAAATACGAATTGTCCACAAGCATTTGCAAAGTCAAAGGCTATCAATGGAAACGGGTATCAACACATGTACAAACCTCTCACTTGACTCCTCTGAGGACTTGGGATTCAAAAGCTCTTCCCATATAGAATTAGCGTAGGAGTTTCCGACAGATTGAAAATAGCTCATTACAGAAGGCTCCCAAACTTTGACATCTAACGTCAACGAACGGACCTGCAAAATAGATACGACGGAGCTTAATTGTCACAATAATAGTTTTGAATTTAGCGAGGAGCTGATTAAAACTGTTCTACAAAGATTGATAGTGGCGCATACGAAGGGAACAAGACAACGAGAACTTTTTTGTCACAAACGTTATAAATCTGCAGGACAGTGACACAGACATACTTCAAGACCAAAGTAGCATTAAAAAGTATGAGAGCCTCAAGATAGGACATTCATGTCGGAGACCCTCAATTTTCCTTTGGACTCCTGTATACTATTAAAAAGGTGCAGAAGCGTGCTTCCTACCTTAGAAATCTGAACGCTCATGTTTCTGTGTACTCCTGAGCACTCAATACACAGAAGAATCCCAAGATTCAGCGAAGCCCAATCGGGATCAGCAGCACCGCAGTCGGCACAAGCATCATTTCCTTTCACCTTGCGTAAAACGTCAAGGGGTCTTTCATGCCCAGATTGATCACTAGCGCCACTTCTTGATACATCTGAATCTTCGCCATCAACCTACAAGAAAATTGCACTCATCGAACGGTTGTTACTGAAAGAACACCGTAGACCCGCTAATTATAATTAAGAATTTGCCCCTCCACGAGCTTATATTACAACGAAGCCACATAGTCCTGGCATTGAATTGACAAGGATAGTGGGTCCATCCGCAGGTAAATCAAAACGAACATTGCCAACCTATCTTTATACCTGCTCAGATATTTGATTGTTTAAAAGCGACGAAATCACCCCTGTAATTTTGTCCATCCAATCCATTCTGTCAATGGCATTTTCTGCCTGCAAATAAAAGTTTATCAGCAACGCAATAAAAATATCAGCTTCAGCAGGTCTTCAATCTTCCGATAGAAAATGTGCCAGATGAGGATAGGTGAGAACCTGGAGGGTATAACTTTTAGCTGGAGAAATAATCCGAAAGCAGAAACGAAGATCTGATTGTTCTGCGTCTATCTTGATTGTAGACGTCAGCAGATTCACAGTGTGATGTGCTACATTTTTCTCGTCCTAAGGCAGCACAAAATGAGTAAGTCTTTGATGATAACCAGAAAAGAATTCACCGTATCTCTTTGATGATATCTGATTGTTCTGTGTCTATCTTGATTATAGACGTCATCAGAAAAGAATTCACCGTGTCTCTCTCAACCTAGTATAAAATATCAACTTACTGTAGGCTTGCCCCACTGTTTCCGATAATAATACAGCATTCCTCTGCTATCCAACACAAAAAACCTCCGCTTCCAGTCACCTCGCAAATTTGTTGAACGCTTTAACAGGTATCCCTGCTTAAGAGTCTGGATCTGCGAGGAGGAATCCCAAAATGATTATTACGCTTCAACACTACTGTTGAAGAACGCATAGTTCAAACTGCACCACTAGTAACCTGTTCACAGTGTTTCATTAGGCTGACTAGAGAAATACCTGCCCTTTTGGGGTCGATTGCATGACTGCCTCAATCATCTTATGTGAACTGCGGCCAACACCTTGAATACCATCTCCAGAAGAGCTGTCAAAATCAATCGACCTTTGGCTCTCTCTCTCAACTTCCTGCCTGTACTCCTGCATACGATCTGCAAGTGCTGCTTGCTCGTAGTTGGCCCTTTCTCTGGACTGTTGAGCATATGTTAACACCTGCCCCGTTCATCACCCATGCTTCCCACTTTAATCGAAGTTCTTTAACTTACAGACGACCATTCAGTTTTTGTCATGAATCTAAAACACTTCATCTCTCTAAACGGAAAACTAAATCGTAAAATAATTCGAAACAAAACAGTACGCGGCACTAATACCACGCTTGGTGCAACCCAACTCCGTTGCTGTTGGAAATCCATACAGGCTTCCATCAATCATACAATTCTTTAGTACAAAATTTAGATGTGCATTACTAAAATCAGGTTATGCACTCCTTTCAACAAATACAACAGATTGAACACGGATAGTTAGTGCATCAAGTCTCAATATGAGATCAATTTGTTTGAGTGATCGCTTACCTGATGGATGTAAGGTTCCATTTGATGTAGCAACTCATAGCCCTGCACCATATTGGCATTTTCTCGTGAAAGTTAAAGGAGCTCAATGTCCTGACAATAGGTCTTGGAGTTTTACAAAATGTCTATAACAGAAAAGAGATATACAATACCCTCAGATAGTAAATTTCAACAAGGAAAATGATGAATTAACTTGGAGATAGACGATCGCTAAAACTCTAAGTGCTTACAATAAGAAAGCAGGATGATGAATCATTTCAAAAAGACTCTATCTAAATCAAGGCAGACTGTCTCATGTTTACCTGCTTGAAGTACCTGAGATGTGCATCCATTGTACCACTCACGGCTTCAAGGAACTCGAACTTCTTTTTTGCCTCACTATTGGTAAGTGCTGTCATCTGCAACATTGAGCTTTTGGTTTGAATTGACAAAAGCTGTGTCATGCATGCATGCTCGCTTTTACCAATAATTTCCTACTTTTCTCATAAAACCAACTTAAAAGCTAGAAACATAACCCTAACCCACTAACACCACATTGGAGGACCCAATACAGGATTGGCATCAAAGAAACCATGAGATAGCATTTCAATTAATATTGCGCGAGATATAATCAACAAGGTAACTATCATTCACTTACCAAATTGAATCGAGCCTGCTCAAATTGTGATTTTGCATTCCGCAAGTCCTGGAAAAAAGATGATAATCATAACATCGTACCAGCGTTGAATGATAAAATATTAGCAGGTTTGATTTCAGCCTAGACTTAAACCTTCAAAGAACTTACATGGCCATATCGCACAATATATAAGCCTGACGGATGGTTAATGTAAGATTCCAGGAAAAGAAGCAAAAAATGGGCCCATCACAAGTCAACTCATGACTTGGAAGATATTACAGCGTCGCTTGCCAATGTGCAAAAGTTTGTCTACACAATAACGACCAAATGCTTTCACTAGTTCCCCTTGAAAGTATGAGCATGGCTTTCAAAGTTACAAAAAAATATACAACTTCGGAAAAGAAAACGAACCTCCTCAAACTCCGCCACTATTTCTGGCTTAGCATCCTTCTTCAAGGCCAAGAACTTCTCTCGCACCTGTTCATCAATCGTCATAGTTGTATTTTAGTCATAGAGGAATAGCGTGTAATGAGCTCACAACACCATAACACCTCTTATCAAAGTGTGAAATGTGACCCTAACAAATCCTACAGAGATGAACCAGTATAAGCAATCCTTATGCAACAAAACATCTTTTTATTTAAGAACAAGAAGTTATCCTTCAGTAGATGCCCTGTAGGAATAAATTCGTATATAAACAAGAGGGAAAAGCAGACGGTGCAAAATTGAAGCAACAAGTTTGTCCAAAAACGGTAAAAGAAATATGAACATTACCTGATCATAGTGCATGTTGGCTTTGTCAAATCGTTTTCTTACTTCCTGCACGCATTGCATGCAAATGAGAACATGAGGCGAGTAAATAGATGGTAACTACCCACAGCAGATCTTCCTTGAAAGCCCCGCATGAGAAATATAGACACGTGATACTAGTTCATCTCCAAGTGAATGGTGGCTATAACATCCATGATGCTAATCAATGGCTGAAACATGACAGCTGCAAAATTCTTACAATAGCTACTCTTACTAAGATGGAAGATTCTTCGACAAGAATAGGACGCACCTTGACATCTTGAAGATCGATGTTCACGAATTGTGTCAAACGGTCAACCAGCATGTGCTCCACCTACATGTGCAAAAAAGAGATTCTGAAACTCTAGACCTAACAATGAACATTATCACAATCACCTGCAACTCCAAGAGTGACGACTTGCCGCGATGCTAGGAACTTTAGACCAGGAATCATTGTAGGAAATGACCAAGGACTTAAAATATACAAACCATGCAAGCGAGTAGCAGAAGGAGAAGCACCCAAATCTCTGTGTACCTGTGAACGGAGGACTTCCTTATATGTCGCTATCTCCCTCAAAGCAATTGTGAATTTTGTCATCACAGGACCTGTTCAGAGTCTAACACGTAAGTGACTCGCCTTCAAACTTAGTCAGCGGTAAACACTGTCACGAACAACTCAATAATCAGCTGCACGAACGACGACATCGAAAGACGATAGAAATAATATTGCAGAATAATCCACGAACGACAGGATGCTAGTGCAGGATAGGGACCGCCAACAGCAACGCTGATTGGATCGTCATGGCCTCCACCAAAGGTCTCCACTGCATTTGCGAAGCTAATATCACCAGTATATGATTCATCGAGCCCCTCACTGCGTTTTGAAATGGAGAATGTCAAAAAATAAAAGAGGAAAGTATAGAAAACCCAATGTTGTTGACCACACTTTCCCCTATTTCACTGCTGAATGAATAGAAGAGCTAAACAAGCACATTCAAAAGCAGAAGTTAATGAAGATACGTGTATTTGCGGCACCCCTTGTGAAATCGTGTACACCTCTCCCTCAATGCCTCCGCACTTTCCTCAAGGGTCTGCAGCTATAATCCTCAATGTCCACAACAACTACTCAGGAGCTATATCGAGTATATTAAATGCATAAATTTGTTCTCAGCCACTATTCATGACAACCTGTATTCATTCCAAGGAAATTAAGCCTGCAAACAGACAGATGGACTTTATTCATGTCGCCTACTTTGCCTCCCCCTGGCTACTAAAAACCGCTCGACATTATACTAAGCAAACCACCAGGAGAGTACAGCTCATCCGGACAGAATGAACTTAAGCATTGTGAATATTCAAGCTTCGTAACAATGTTCACAAGCGAATTAAGAACATACAATTGGTTGAGAACATGAACGATCCTGATTGAAATAAGCCCCAATTATCTGTAAAATTATCTTTCCTGTCACACAGTATCCCTGGCACTCGCTTAAGTGATCATCATCGGTCGCAGACGCTATCTGTCTGAAAACCACGTAAGTAATATGCAGTGACTTTCGGCAGCTAAATGGCACCCTGATAGATCCATCATATCAATCTCAACCTCAATCTCACAGAAATGCAGAATAGTGCAAGTACCTGTTTCCTAAACATGGGCGAGTCATCCAGCTTGGTGAAATGCATGACTGCGGAATTTCCAAAATCTCGCAAAAAATGGGTTTGTAGGTCATGAGATGTGCGGTAGTAGGCACCTGAGTGTCCTTGCTAGTGGGATTTAATACTGAGGCTAAGTGACAGAAAAAACTTGACTAGCTTCAATAAAGAGCTTGCGTACTAGAAACTCGCTCGAAACCCTAGCAATTCCGCGCCCTTGCTCCTAATGCAGACTACCTGCAGCTCCAATTCCAAAGACAAAAATTACCACACGCGCATTCCAACCACTCTTCTCGGATACCAACCCCACACGACCCCCGACGGCATCCGAGTCCAATAATGAAGAATATTGCAAGATTCCAATGCCCCTCGATTCAATCACTCACAAAAAGCCTCATCCACTGCTGCTCGGCACCTCAGGCAGTCATTCAATTAAAACCCAAAAGAACTCGATTCACACACCCTGGCTCATAAACCTACGCCATGCCCTCACACTGGTCACCAGAAACGAAATATCATACCACCACCGTTTTAAGCGCAACCCACTTCAGAAAAAGTAGAAATAAACCATCGTCACCCCCGAGATCCAACCCCAATGACACCCAAATCAATGCATGCTTCCGTTGGCCTTCAAACTGCCCTTCCCAACATAATGCACACGAATGGCCACATCTAAAGCTCATGATCCAGTGCCCACAAGCAGGCGGCAAACGCGCCATCACCTATCGCAGAATTTGTCGTCTGCCTAAAGCAAGTCCCCTGTTTATTCCGGAATTCCAGCATTCAAACGCTCCCCAAATCCTTGAACTCCCTCGCCCTCCGCTCCTCTCAAGCCAGTTTCAAAAGATCGTAAGTGTAAAGTCCTCTGTGAGGCCCCAAAAATAGACGCTCACGTCGTCCGAAGAAGAAGCTATGATTGGCTCGATCAGAATAAGATCATTGATGTCGCAAGTTCCGAATGAATCGCGTGAGAATTGGCCCCTAATCTCAGCTCCTTACCCGCTTCGAAACCGACTCCTGTCACATCCTCAATTGCTCGCTGCGCTCGTGGTCTTGGCACAGATGCTTTTGTGGTTTTTGTTTGCAATTTTTTTCTTTTTTTCTGTTTTATCTTTCTTCAGATTAAATCAAATTAGATTATTACACCGACGTCGATGCGTCGCGCGGTGAATGGAATCTATCACATGTATCACCGCCTCTCTGATGAGCCGCTTTCACTACACTGGCGACCACTTTGTCTTCCAATTTTATGTTATGTTTTTTGAGACCTTATTTATTTATTTTGGATTTAAGTTGTGTCAAAATATTACCATATAAGAATATTATGATTAGGGGTTATCTATCTGATTGACATTTCAGAGGTAGCATAAAAATATGGTCCCAGGATTAAATGAGGATATCAATTTTAAATAATTTTGAAGTGTATGCTTATTATAATTCCTTCTCTTGTGTTACGATAATTTGTTGCGTTGATTACTAAAAAAAATTAAGAAGGGTTTATTGCATTCATGAAGTCTTTTTATTTGAAGTATTTAATTACAAGATTCTGGTTCTAAGGCCATTTTTTCAAACTCTTGCATTTATCCTAAGGTTCCAGTACAAGCACCCGAAGGTTCACAACACAGAATATTGCCATGACCTTTGAACAAAGAGCAAAGAATAACTGAACACAGCAAGTCAAAAACCAAGGCAAATCTCAACGCTCAAAAAAGTTGTATATATACATATATATACATATATATACATATATACATAAAAATATGAATGAAGTAAAGTTTGAGGCAATAACAAGGTCAAAGCACCAAGTTGCAGATTAGTTATTGAAAACACAGGATTTTCGCTTGTCCCCCTAAAATCCTTCCCACTAGTTTCCTTATTACACTCATGCTAAAAATAAATTAAGAACGTTACTTCTTCGGCTCCAAATTCAGCCCAGGAATTTTCTGTGACTGCTGCTGTTATTGACAAGCATCACTGATTGTCGCAAGGGCAGTAGAACTAGCATGAATTGTGATTCCAGAGGTTGTGGTTCATTTTTCCGAACTTTGAGGTCCATTCCTTCTCATAGTGGAAGAAACCCTCTCACTACAATTTGGGAAGGAGAGGGTCGTTACACATTGCACCAAATTGCTTGTTAGCTTTCAAATTGTGTATATGTCACTAAAATGTATCATAGCATATTGTGATAAGAGCAACTGGATCCAAATCCAATATGTCCTGAAAGAGAATCCAGATGTTTCCATAGCCTCGATACATCCTAGCTCTAAAGAACTGTCACGCAACTAGAGTGGCAGAGTAACTTTAACTATATGCTACATTTTTTATGCATCTTCAGTACTGCAACATGAGTGTACGTCTAGAATACAATTCACAAGAAATCTCCAAGACGAGGCAGAAGAAATCATGGCTTATCTTCAACTGCATCCAGTGACACACACTTAAGATAGAAGTGAACATAGCAATTAGAGTCTGATTTCACATTATCATCTAAGCACAACCAAAAGCATTGATACCTAATGGAGCAAATAGATGACCTACACAAATACCACAAACAGAAATGTAGGAAACAAAAGTACATCCAACTTTATTGCAAAAATAAAGATTTAACTCAACACCCTAATTCTGAGACTGTTAGTCAAAAAGAAAATCTGTAGAAAACAGTCTGAACCAGGTCATCACTGAATGTTCAATCTGAATATGTCAGCTGATCCGTTAATGCCAATAGCATTTTCAAACACGTTCTAAAACTACCTGTACCTGCTTGATGCTCCTAAAAACCGGAAAGAGTATTCACTGGCTCTCCACACCGTCCTGGTCATCTGATATGCAATAACATGCTCCATTGAGCAAAACCAAAAGAAACATATCGTTCAGTAGTGAACAGCCTTGGAATGCACGTCACACCGGAAGCTTGAATGAGCCATGAAATGGGCCACAATGAACTGAGTAGCGATGCTATGTATGGACGCTGAAGAAAACGTCTCTAGTAAAATAACCTAACGAAAACGTAAACTAGTTGATTCTACCAGTCACTAGTACTTTAGTATTGCGAAAATGAACTGGATGTCCAAATGCTTTCCTCCACAGTTCAGCAGCAACAACCTTATGAGAAGCTATACATGAGGTTTAAACTGGAAGAGTATTCTACAACATCGAAACGAAAAACCTGAAACCCCCAAAGAGGCAACTATGAACACCTAACGGATTCTAGAAACCAGAAAGAGGCCATCGCCTTGGAGAAGAAGTCAAAGAGAAGAGCTCCTGGAGACTCACCTGCACACAAAACACAGTTCACCGAGGTAACCATAACATGCATGAAAAATTAATTAACAACTGCTTTGATGTGTAATGAATATGGACATATATTTGCTGAACGTACAGAATGCACACGAATAGTACTGTGCAACACAAATCAAGAAATTCTGAGCTCAACATGCTAAGAACTTGATGTGCAAACCTGAGTATAGAACTTCATGGTGCCGGCGAGAGGACACAGCTGGACACAATTCCCACAACAAGCCACAAGAACTCCTTAGGAAAGAGCAAGCGAATCCTAAGGAGCATGTAAACCGCCACTAATACAACCACAACACAACTGCACGTCACAAACAAGCAAAGATCCCACACAAAGGACTATGTATGAACAACTGGGAATGGCCTACAGACAACATGGTTGGCCCATCCGCTCCTAGTGTCGAGGTAGCCTCCATAACGTTGCCACCTCAGTCAATGGCCTTCGTGCCCGTACCTCCGGAAATGTTTTTGCAGGCTCAACCAGATTCACCGGCAAGGTGCTAGCAAAACGTTCTAGGATAAAGCACATTTGAGGCTTGAATTTGTCAGGAAAAGTCATGCTTGTTTGAGTTTTCAAACAGAGCAAATCTTTCCTTCAAACTGCCCGAGAAGGGATGTAGAACCCGGGCGTACTGGTAGAAACTGCAGAGTGAAACTTCGTCTTTGAGCTGTGCTAACAAGTCTCCTGCCTCCACCCAAATTTGTTCACAAGCCTGTGGACATGCTTGAAGTAAAGAGCCAAAAAGAAGAGAGCTTATCCAGATTGTGGCAGCTGAATTTGAGAGGGTGTCCAGGTGCCCAATATGCATCCTATAAATTTGCAACACTAACCCGTAATTTCCAGGAAATGTCTCCATCAGCGCTTCGACAATCGTTGCAACCTCTTTGGTTAGGTTGCGCTCCTTGCTGATGATGATTTCTACTACACTGTTTATGAGCGAATGATCAACGGAAGCAGACCCAATGAGAGACTCAAGGAACACACGAACCCTTCGCCTGGAGATGGGATTAAGTAATTTGCTAGCAAGAGGTACTAATTTGAACAACAGGTTTGTTACTACACTACATTTGTCTAAAAGGTCAGATATAGCATTTGCCTGCTCCAGACCTGTTTGGTTGAAGCGGATGAAAGAAGTCATTTCCTTCCAGCACTGCATTACATCCTCCTTTAAAACTGCTGCTTTCATACTCTTCTCCAGTGCGAATTGTGCATCGACCATATTTCCGGAGAGCATCTCGAATAATGCTAGATTCATCCAAGCAAACACGGCCTCCCGACATTCCAAGGGACAGCTGCTATCCGCTTTTTCGAACCTTCGGGTATTCAGCTGTAAGCCTTTCCTGGTGGCATGCCCCGGATAAAGATGATCAGAATTCTCTTCAGGAGAGCTTCGCAGGGAAGCAATACCACACTGGTAGAGGATATCCAAAGCACCAGAACTGCCCTCAGCATCAAGCATGTGCACAGCACACTGGTACCATAATCTTTGTAGGCCAGTGACGTTTTTCGAGGAAATCTGCAATGCATGCTTAAACACATCTATCCATCCTTCCTTCTTCTCCAAACGCACAAGGACAAGAACAAGCTCAACGCAGGTGGGATGCCGTTCCACAATTTCTCTACCTATCCGTAGTGCAGCTTCGGGTGCATTATACAGAGCTAGGCATTTTAAGTAGTTAACTGCCATTACTTGCTCGCACTCCTCCTGGGAAAATACAGCTACACAACGCATACCTGCCTCCATTACCTTGAGCACAAGATCCTTAGAGTCTTTCTGTACATGGGAACACCTGGACCAGTCAATGTCCCATGGCATCTGCTGCTTACATCCCGAATGGATGAGAAAGTGCTGAGATAGCTGGCCGAATGCAATAGCATAAGCACAAGCCACCATCATGATGCAACGATCCTCAGGAGTCAAGCAGACCAGAAGTGATGCGGTAGAGGTACTTGGGTTAGCGAAGTTCTCTGCCCAAGTGTGCAGTTGATGAGTAACCTTTGCAACACACATGAAGTCTAGCATCTGAATGATGACATCTAATATGTAAGCGCTTTGATCCTGCCTTCGATCCCCAACATCGACTAGGGCTTCAAGAGCCACTTCATAAGCTCTCAATCGATCTGAAAGTGTCGTCCTGCTATTGATATACAGAAGAAGCAACTCATATGAACCTTTGCTGTTCTGAATCTGCGCAAAAGATGAATTATCGTAATAGCAAAGTTAGGCGTACTAACCCAGTCTTCATGCGAATCGGTACTTGCTGATTAGTGATATAAATTAACAAGACTAAGGTGATGTAGGAGCTCAGTCTAAGATATTGAATCAACTTCAAAGATATGAAAGCTTTCTGACAGATTCACTAAAGTTATTTGACAAAGTGCACACGAATCGTATCAATCCAGACTTTGTATGGCTTCAAGTGATGAATCTTGCGCTTCACATTAGTCCTAAATACAATAAGCGCATATAAAATTCAAATCTAACTCGATAGTTACAATTCACAACAACGAAGAGAAATACATTGCTAGAGCCACCAGCTCAAAAGGATGCAGTTAAAGGAAACTCCCTTGATCAATGAAAGTGGACAAGTACCGCGTGAAAAAATAAGTCATCCTCGCCAATTTCGCTTTTTCCCTGATAAAATAGGCCTATGTAGACTACCCACAGCGTGGCCACAGTGGGATTTGCCTCAAGTGCCCGAGAGAGGACGCACAGAGCCTGTTTGAAAGCCAACAGAATGAAATTGAGCCCGTGTTGAGCTTTAAGACATGCTTAGTCAATAAGTTGCGGTCGGTTACCAAGATGCCCTTCTAAAGAGTCTTTGTTTTATGATTCCATACCGCTTCAGTCGCAGCGCCCACAGTACAACAACTATAGTAGTCTTGATATGACGAGAAATAAGACGCAACAATTGGCATCTCAAGAATCCAAACATACAACAACCCTTGGATTGAAGTTGACTCACTTCATTGTATGCGTCAATATCTGTGCAATGAAGATCGAAGTCAATGCGTGTGAGAGCAAGCTCCAGCCATGCCTCAATATCTTCAGGTTCTTTATCAACATGTTTCTGCTTCAGAGATATCATCCCCTTCACTCAGAATAGTTAAGACGACGTAATCAAGTTTACACTAACTGTGCCAGGCAAGGAACAATAATCTCCTGGTGCTCAAAAGGTCTGTTTTCTTCACCCTAGCTTCCATAAATCGAGTTAAAAACATGCACAAACAGCATTCACATACCTCAATAGCAGCTAATGATCTATCTCCAGTGTAGCGCCAACCACTTGCATCCGCAGTAGTCATTTGGCTGTCAACATTCGAAAAATTTGTCGGCAAGAAAGGCATATCCAAGTGAATTGGCCTCCGTATGGCAGATGAAAGCGCGCAGGATGTGAAAGGAATTAATCTATATTGGTAACTAAGCAAACACCTCACTCTGGGAATAAAGCCCTCATCTTGACTAACAAGATATGCTCCAATCTTGTAAGAAGGTGCTAGTGTTCCTCTACTCCAAGTGAGAGTTCTAGGAAGTAGCGATTTATTGCTAATTAATGATCCAACACTTTTCGATGTCCCCCCTCTGATTTCTTTAAGTGAAAAACTGACTGCTTCTGAAGACAACTCCTGTTCTTCAACCTCTTCCCCAGATTTAAAATACTTGCTGAGCTGTGAAAGTAGGCGGGCTTCGTCAAGTGTGTAGTCCGCCACATGCTGCCATGGACAAGAATCATCATTGCATTTGCCCCGGTGTTCAAATATGCAAAGAGGTTTACATGGATCCAACATGTGGCTCCAAGTCTGAGATTTCACGCATTTGTGCCAAGCAGTCTGAAACTCTGCGCACATTCTGTAGAAGCGAAACATAATCAAGGGGCTCTCATAAGTGGCTACACGAAAAGAGTCGTCGGACCTTTTATCTGTAGCTACATGGTTATAACCCAAACAAAGTGAAGAGTTACTTCCAGTTCCCAAACCAATAAATCCAATAGAAAGTACAGTAGATGGCAATTGCTTAATATCAAGGTCTTCTGGTTGATCGTCCTGAACCACGTCCATGAGTCCATGTGACGAGTCGACACCAACAAGAAGATCTCCTTCGCTTGCAAGGACATAAGGATGATTCTCTGCTGAATTTGCAGACCTAGGTAATCCAAGACACACTTCATCTTTACCATTTTCCATCACCTCTTGTCTTCCCTCTTCTCCTCTCAAAGACCTTGATTCTCCTTCACTTGAATCACTTGTCCTACTAGCGCAATCTCCCTTGTCTCCGGATATTTCACTAACTTTTGCTTGTACAGAGCTTCGGCTCTGATGCTTTCCGCTTCTAATCGACCCGCGAGTCCATCCTTCAGCTGTTAAATCCTTCAAGGAAGATCTGATTGTTTGCTCACTGTTATTTGAAGTCTCTTCATGTTCCGGATCCAACTGCTGCATTTCAAAATTCTCTGCTAGAGCTCTCAACCCAAAAATATACTTCCCACTCCTTGGTCTAATTTTCAATCCAGTATCTGCAGACATCTCAGACTGATGCTTCCTGCCAACGTCATCCTGACGATTGTGCTTCGTAGTCATGATTTCACAATTCAGAGAGCTAGTTGACCTTGGATCCGCTGGCAGCATTTCCGAACTATCTAAGCCCACAATGTTCATGTCCTGCCAAAGAACCAACTCTGTTACCAGGCACGCCGTCACATCTCTCAATTACGTGCAGGCAAACAATCAGTCTGTTGCTCTGAACTTGAAATCCTGTAGAAAATTGTGCGTTATTGCACCTCAGCAAATGTCAATCAATAAGCGCCTTTACCATAAAACCAAAGTAGCGGTTGACCAAACAGACACATGGCCAATTTATACCTCAGATTAAAGGGATGCCGAATAGCTTCCCTCGGAATAAACAAATCAAGTAGTCAGTGAAACTCGAAATAAAGTAGGACTTCATATGAGAAAATAAAGCAATTTGCAACAAATTTGAGGGCCCCACCAAAAAATAAGAACGTTCTAAAGAGTAGATCTAACCTGATCAGTTAAATTTGCAAGAGACCCTTCAGTTCCATTTCCAAGAGCATTAGGAATAGAGAGATCCTGCCCCGGGGACTTGGAAATGACGAAGGGGTCTTCATCTGCAACAACTGGCAAGATAGATTCAATAGACCAAACGAAAAATAGGAAAAAGTGATCCGGTGCAATCGCACAAGATGCCAAGGATCAATTCTATGTTAAGAAGTAGACCTTGCTACAGAAACTTAAAGCAATAAAGTGTATGTTGTTCGCCCGATGAAGCAATCAGCACACGTTGCTGATCCTCGAGCATTTCAACCGCAGAATTGATCACGTAACATTATTGAGACTTATAGCTTCAGTAATACTGTGGCAACGATTTTCCAGAAACAACTCGATTTCAACAATTGTAACACCTTGTGCGTTGGAAAATCGTGCATACCTGTTGAGGTTGGTTTGCGCATGGAAGAGCTGGAGGACCTGATGATCTCTCCACCGTTCTGAAATGGCTCTTGTTCTAGCGTGTCTAGACTTGTTTGATCATTGCCAAACACAGTTCTAGTTTCTCCCTGGCACAACAACGCTTTGTGATCTTTAAGATAAGGGCTTACCGTTCTCAGAACATCAATTTGCTTTTTGTCCACCGCAGTATCTGCTCTACTAGCATGCAATTGTGGACTAGAGGTTGATGTAAATGGAGCTTGATTTTTATGGATTGCCGTTGATCTATCTCGCAGGACGTGATCCTCGTGGGAGTATTCTCGTGAATACACTAAATTATTCAACCCCAATGCATCTTGGCATCCTCCAGTAGATGGCATAAGGGTTCCAATTTCCCCCTCACTTTTCTGTTTTTGAGAAGAAGCAGCGATCCCACTGTTGATGGATGCAGAAACCTCGCCTTCTGCACAAAAAGTGAAATCAGGAGCTTCGTCGACATCCATATGTATATTTTTATCGCCAAGGGCAACTTCCTGTGTACTTGGAGCATGCCCAACTGACAACTGAATACCACGAGGAATTGTTTTGTCAATGCTCTCCTCCAAAATCTCCGTATCCGCGCTGCTTGAGGACTTCTTAAAATTCTGCCTATCAACGCGAGCAGATGATTGATTCCGGGTACCAGCTTGCTGTACAGAAGCAACGTTACCAAGAGTATTCATATGATGGTCTGTCTCTTGTTCTATTGAAGGCTTAGCACTACCCCATGCAATCGATGGATACGCTGGAGAAAGCCCATCAGTCCTTGGAGCTACGCTGTTATCGTAGGGAACTAAGCTGCCACTATGTATTGAGGAAGAAGGTTGTTGAGGGATGTGTAATTCTGCGTTTTGGACCTGGACACTCAGAAACTTTTGACGTCGGCGAAGAGCCTCGCAGCGGGTATCAGCTGCACTAAGTGCGATTTGAGCGTCTCGATAAGCTTTGCGCAATTCTCGCTCTCGAATTTCACATTGTCTTCTAACGACTTGGGCCTCTTCAAGATCCTTGTCCACAATGTCTTCTTCCTCTCGCAGTTTTTCCAAAGAGAAACTAGCACTTCCTCCACTGAAATTATTGTGCATGCTGAAGTGCTCCAAGTGATGTCTAGCAGCATCATATTGTTGAAAAGAAGGCGAAGGATTACGACCACCTGGAACTTCAGAAGCAGGAACCGTCTCCTGATTATTTTGCGAAAGTATTTTATCAGGAACTTCGCCGGGTACTACAAGGCTTGATGTAAATGCGGGTGGCAACATCTTGATACGGTCAATATTCATAACCTGAAATCCAGCAGCATCAGCGGTGGTAACAATATCTGCATTAGAAAGATCATGTAATGGTTGCAGCCAGCCACAGGACAAACCTCCCTCATGCATTCTGAGCACCACTTCAAGCTCAGTGCTAGAGGGTATATTTCCGCCATTCGGGATCAACTGTGAATCTCGTACTAGTGAATTTTTGAAACGTGCAGAGGTAGATGGCTGGACAAGGCCGCTGCCTACGTTGAGAATACTCACAGAAGACATATCAGCTGTCCCAGACGAAACATCACCATTTTGTGTACAGTGATTCTGTGAACGCAGATGCTTCTGACCATCCACATGTACATCTGATGCTGAGACAGAAAGATTCTGCGGACCATTACTCCTGCTCTCACCTCTCCAATCTTCAACTTGGCCTATTGTTGAAGGACCTGGAGGACATGATTGTGGTCTCAACATTTGTTTTGCTGGGGATGAGAAGTGGGGTGATTTACCAGCTGCGATCTCAGTGACATGAGCATGCTGAGAGTATTCGTCGATTTTTTGCCTCTTCCAACACAGTTTGTCTTCAATAGCAACGCTCTGATTTGCAACCCTAGAAACAGCGTAATCAAGGTGCTTAACAGAGCCTGAGCTCGGATTGGTCAGAGGCGGAAATTGAATATTGGAACTCCGATCCAATTGGTGATCCTTTTGCTGTTCCGTAGAATCTTCAAGTGATAACCTAGGCCTTTTCAAACTCGAACTCATTGCCTGATCTAGATAAGATGACTCTAGATGTAACTCACCTACAACAACTGGAGAGTTAGCAGCACCATTTCTACCAGGTAGTTCTGGAGTGCCTATCGGCGAAACATCGACAGATTGGTTAAGTGCAGCTTTATTTGTGATAGACTTCTCGGAAGGAATTTGAATAGCCCCTCCATTTCTATGTGTAGTCACACCAGATTTGATCACCTGGCCTTCAGAACTCTTCCTTTCACCAGACTCCATATTCTTGATTCCAGATAGGACAAGCTCAATGGATGTGGCAGCCACAGTACCATGAGATACTACAGTTGGTGAGGGTCCTGCAGGTGTAGACGCTGCGATCGACACGCGATCTACGCCAGGTGTTAAGTTCCTAACTTCTCCAATGGCCCCAAGATTGGGTGTCACAGATTCTTTTACCCTCACAATAGAGGCTTCGGCCTGCTGATTCGCAGTGATCTCATCCGAGGGTCCAGTTGAGACTTGATGATCAGATGTCTTCACAATCGAAACCGGGTCACCTACTTTTCTTGTACTCCGCTCTCCCAGCTCTGCAACACTTGCTTGAACAGTGCTAGTTCCAAGGTCTATAAATGCAGCATTGGCTGGTCCAGCTTTTTTCTTGAGTTGTGTCTTATTAGCGCTTTTCACGGCTAGCTTGTTTCCTACTATCTTATTCGTTCTCGGTGTCTGCGTGCTATCACCTTGAACCGAAGCCCCAGTAGCAGCACGAATTCGTGATTCGGGCAACTGACTGAAACGATTACGTTGCATTTCATTCTCCTTACGAGCAATCAGTAGGCGTAAGTTCTCTATTTGTTCATCTGTGCGAGGAGAAAGCTTTGACACCGAAGCAGGTCGCGCCATGGGCCCTGCTTTGATGCTGAAGGTGGTCTTCTTACTATGTGACATTCCATCAGTCCGTTCCACCCTGCTCCTGGCATCCGAATTCTTATTAGGAGGAGTTTGTGTTAGAGAAGTTGTTTTCGCGCAAGCAGGTACCGCTTGGTCAACACTACTTCTAGACTGCACTTGCGCAGACTTCGCTATTAGTTGTTCCCCTTCACTGTCGCTGTCGTCAAAATTTATTATGAGATTTGCGTTGCTTCCATTAGATCCAGGAAGGTTGAGACCAGCAAGAAACTCATCCGCTTCTGTGCGATCCGCGGGAAAAGGAACAGGTTGTGGCCGTGGACCTGAGAAAGAGAAGACCCAGTAATCAGTCCCCTGAAATTGACAGAACGCAGTTAATCCGAAGGTTTTTCTAAGAAATTGCAAACCTGTAGAATTTGAAACATAGAAATGACCTTCTTTTTAAAAGTAAACGAACACCTTTCTCTAGAGAACTTGTATCATGTGGAACACTAGTATAACAATGGCTTGTAGAACATGTAATTACACTCAGCAGGAGGCAGATAATCTACCAGCCCATGAAAACCTCGTACCTGATAAATGTGAAAAAGACCTATGCGAAGCTGCAAAAGGAGGCGAAAACGGCCTGTGTGGGGAAATAAAGGATAATCCGGTAGTCCCATTGGGGACGTGCACTACATCTCCAGGTCTTGCACACTTCTTCCCATGAGAGAGTGGTAGCTTATTCAGAGAACTGTTGTGTGCTGGTCTAAAGACTGGTGCTGCAACAGATAATTGTTTTGGGGAGCTATGAAGAACTGGCCGTGCGGAGATCAGTTCTTTTTCTGAAATTACCGCTACACCTCCGGCAGATCTAACTTTATCTACATCTGCTTGAGGAGGCTGCAAACATATGTTCATTCAACGTATCAGGCAAAAGGACAATTCAGCTAGAGACAATAACTATGAAATACGCATTAAATAGAAGATCACGCTTCAGAGCAAATAATATTATACCTGATCTGGCTTGTGAGAAGACACACCTGAATTTTCCTGTCCCACTGCACCGAAACAGATGCCTCACCTCGTTAGCATATTACAGCTACTTAAAAGAAGCTTATGTTTGAAACAGAACGAACAGCAGCATCATGAGCCTCTAAACTTCTCATACATCCCGCACAGGCGTCTCAGATAGACAAGGTACCAAAATTGAAGCGAATTAACACGCACTCTGTTTCGAGTACGTACACACCATACCAATGGAAAACCAAATGCTTGTACCTTCAACTGGTGATTTCATAGAGCCCAAAGATGGAGCTGAAGCACTCAACCCACTCAGGAGTTGTAGCTTATTCACAATAGACACATTCGTAGTTGACGATGCTGCCACCACGTTGGAAGAACTAATATTTCTAGCAGTCCGTACGTTCTCCTGAAAGACAACTTCGGGACATCCTCCTACTGTTGAATTATGCGGAGGAAGTCCACCTCCACCCGTCTATTCACACCACAGCCAGAGAAGACACCCATGACTAAACAAAAGCTTGAATTGTCACAGAAAATGACTGTTACCTCGGAATACCATGAAACAGCATGAATTACACAACTAGGACCTCCTTGCAGCGCCAAGAAGGAGAAAAATATACAGATAAGAATCAAGTGAAGGCCACAGATGACCATTAACCATGGAAATGTTTCTAAAAGGAGGCTTCGAGGTAAGGCGTGAGTCAGATTAAACAAGATAAACCGCAGACCTTTAGATGGGTAACATTGCCGCTATCAGTGACAAAAAAGATAGTCAATTAGGGATTTAAAAATAACTATATTAGTCAGATAAAAAACAGCAGATGTGCAACAATGGAGACATCAAAAGACCATGTCGTAATTAAGAAGAGTATATTATGGTAGGGAACCAACAGGTAAAGACGAGAGCGACACTTCGTCATCAGATGAGGAGAGCTCTCCTTCCTCTCTCTCCAGCTCAGGTTGCTTCAAAACAGGCCGGGGTTGTAACTTCTGTTTGGAGGGCATTGAAGCAATCGCACGAGCCCGCAAAACATCAATCTGATTAACATCCGACATTTTGACTCACTATCTTCTACAGATACCACAAGATGGTTAGTTTCGATAAAAACCCTAAAATTTGACAACACAGATGTAAGAGCAGAAGAGAAGCAATAATTGCATAGTTACCTCCCATCCTACTCTGAGATACGCAACTATGGCAGAACTTCTCTAAAAAATATCCAAAGAAACATGTGGGTCTTTCTTCACTATAAACTCTTTGAATTACAGACAAGATCAACGAAACATGAACGGGAAAGAGCCGGCTTCTAAATACTGTAAAATACCTGACTTCTATGGGTAATACATCATGCGTAACTACAAAAAAGAATGCCCTTCTAAACACGTCACACACCTTCATGTTTGAAGGTTCAATATTCGATAGTCTCAGCTACCTTGCTACCTTCAGAGTACCGTGCGTACCGTAAAATTTTAGTTTATTCCACAGCGTGGTTTCCCACGATTTTAAAGAGGATGGACGCATAGCAACATAAATTGCTAAAAAACCTGCTCTAATACCCACAAGTGAACTTATGACAACATAAAACAACTACAATGGCTAGCAGGGCTTACACTTTCCTACTTACAGGTTATGAAAACCTTTCACCTTCTTGACCTCAATCGCAAACTCTCCACAAGTATTACTACGAAAAATGCTTACGAATGTAGGTTCATATACTCGATAGAGAATCACAATTAACTCTCACGTCGTGGACTTTCAGCAGATTCGGACATTAAGAAACATACGAGTGAAGCAGCGAATCACTCATAAAAGCAAGACCGGTTCCTCTGCGAGGGAATTTCATTCCAGGTCAAACCAATGTAGTAAAACTTGACTGATGCTGATGCTGATACTGATACTGAGCAAGAAGGTACTGAAATAGAAATATTACCAAACCATGCACTTGTAATATAAAAGGCAAACAAACAAACGGCACACACAGGCTAACGAACCAGAGTCACAACAGACTGGTGGGAAAAACCGGTTGACTCGGAACACTATACTGGACCACTAAGTAAAATGCGGAGGTATACTACAAAAAAAAAAAAAAAAAAAAAAAAAAACATCCAAGTCTCCAAAAAAAACCTATCTCATGCATTGGTGCGCGAGTAAAGGACCCTAAACCGCGGCACGGAAAAAAAAACAAAAAAACAAAAAAACAAAACAAAACAAAACAAAACAAAAAAAACAAAAAAAAACAAAAACAAACAAAGTAAATAAATAAATAAATAAAATCAGGAAATTAGTAACAAAAATCAACAACACCTAAAACTGACCTGGATTATATGAATGCATTCCTACAAATCTCGCTGCCGCACGCCCAATTCTCGAGTCAGACAGACCATTGAAACATAACACAAATCGCGCAGATGCTGTGAAATCGAAGGAAGAGCCCAGAGTACCGAAAAACCCCTCACAGCCCCATCTGTCCTCGGGAGCCTTGTTGTTGTTGTTTGATTTCTCCCCCCCTCCACCCCCCCCCCCCTCCCCCCCCGAAAACCAAGAAGAATCCAGCAAAAGGCAGCAGAAAATTTCCTGGCCTCCCTCGGCACCGACGAGAGCGACCCTGCACTGACCGGGATACGGAAGGGTGCTCCAAGACCAACAGGGAAGATGCGTTGAGAATGTGAGAATAAGTGTGGGCTTTCGGAGGCTGTGTGGCTATGGCGAGATGATGCTCGCTCCCATCCCCTGCGACGAGGACCTCAAGACGGCGGGCTCCTCTCAAACGTATCTTCGGTGCAACATCGCAACTGGCGCCACTACTACCCCGTCTTGGGATCGATTCCTCCTACCGACCATCCCCCTCTTCTTCTGTTGTGCCCTCTCTTCATGCCAAACCGTGGGACTGGGTTGCCAAGTCTTCCGCCCCAGATGATGCTGACAATTGGATCATTCTAAATAGTGGTCTTTAATTATGGAAGGTGTCCTCCACCTGCTACTCTGATAATCTGTTGTGGAATGATATTCCCAACTGAAGTATTGGAGAATGTACCTTTTTATGCAATTAGGTACGTACCTAATTTGAACACTATTAGAGTACAGGTTATGACTGTGAACAACTAAAAATAATGCTACTTTCATTAAGATAATTTATGTTTGTTGTTTGTAATGACTTCTCTTATTTAAATGCAATAACAGTATTCGCGACAATCCCAATAATCATACCCAAATCCTGCTTATACCTCAAATTACTACTATCTCGTCACGATCAAAGACAAAGTGGACAGTTGTACAGTGAGAAGTAAAGTGATGAAAACAACCCTATAAATTAGCCAATTTTTTTTCTTTGTTCACATATTCTTATGGACTTCTCTTGCGTTCACTTTCACATTTTTTTCTGCACACTAAACTCTAAATTATTTAACTTGCCATTCTCGAATGCAAGTACACACAAAGAGTCCAATGATTTCAGAATCATATGTTCGACGTTAGACAATGCAAAACTTGATAAACAAATACTTTGCGGTTTAACTAAACTAATACAAAAAACCATCTATTTAAACAACAACACACAAATATTGAATCTGAAAGTGATGAACAATGCAATATTCAAGCTCAGTGATTCCTGAGCATCTTATCCTGATGAACCTTCCCTTCGTACACTTGTTTTTAGGGTTTCGCCTTTAGCTCACAAACATGGCGAGTTAAGGAGGAGAGACGTTGTGCGGTGCAAGGGGATGAGGGTGCCAGGCGACACCAGCCTCTGCACAAGACGGAGACACCAGTCGAGCACGCAGAAATTTCAAATAAAAATTGTTACGAACTTTTTGGTAGACTAATTGTTACGAACTTTTTCATGGGTCTGTTTCTGCATTGACGGATTTCGCGGCTGCCATCTGTTGAGCTTGCATTCGACGATTTCCTTGTGGTTTTGGACCCCTTTCATTCAGCTCACACGGCAGTTTTTCAGGAAGAGCAAAGTGTGTCTCAAGAGGGAGTGTTAGCCGCTCGTAATGGATTGCTGCACTATTGCAGAGATGGAATCCATGAGGTTTAGAGGAGTTTCTTGAGCACTGACAGTATGATTAGACGGAAAAAGGAGGTGTTGCGTGGTGGAGTTGCGAAATTCAGCGAGTACTGAGGAGATCTTTGGAATTCTCGCTCGTAATAAAGACGTGAGGGTCATGTGGCGGTAATTTCTTTTTACAGGTTGTGGAGGGGAGAAGAGAGTGATTCTTTAGAGTGGGTCGCTCGTAGAGCTTAATCTCAGAACTTTAAATTGTCTTGTATTTTTGGAGGTGTAAGTTGTGCACAACCCGCAGTGGCAGTAGAAGACGGAATTGGGTATTGAAGGTGGGCTTAGCTGGCCTTTCTGTGAACATATTGACGATATACCGTGGTCCGATAGATAGCTTGAAGATCGATCAAGGTATTTAGGTGGGACAAGAGAGAAGGCTCGACGGGTGTGGAGAGATGCGGAATGCAGGTTCGATGCCAGCCATAAGCTGCGGCCGGGAGATTATGTTGCGGAGCTACTTGAGCACGCGACCTATCTTGCCTGCTCGTTTTGTCCTCTATTCCTGCCTCAAAACGTCCTCGCTTATTCCTCTAATAACTCCACGTAGAGTGAGCATTCCACGACGCCAACTTCAGCTTGCTTCTGTAAGAAGCTGTAGTGGGAAGGCCTTGGTTCAAGATACGCCTATTGAATGGACGAGAAATCGAAGCTCTGTGAGACTATTTGCGACGGCTAGAGACACAGGGGGAAAGCAGGCCATCGAAAGTGAGGTAGAGTCTATCACTGGCGGAGACCTAGGCCCCATTGGCAAACCAGAGATATGTACGGCTGATGAATTGCATTATGTTGCCGTTCCAAAGACTACGTGGCGTCTTGCTCTCTGGCGCTATCGCCCTTCGAAATCTGTAAGATGTGTCACTGGTTCAGTATTCGCGAATTGAAGCGTATTTGTGGATTAAAATTTTCGGCTCAGTTTCTGTTTACCCCACAAGTCCTTTATACTGCGAATTATTTCGTACCTGGGGTCTTGTCCGCGTCAATTTTAGAGAATATTGAGTAAGTGCAGTTCAGAGTTCATTTCATGTTGGTTTTCAATCCCAGCAGAATGTGTTTCTTGGTGCAGGCGCCAAAGAGGAATCATCCAGTGCTTATGCTGTCGGGTATTGGAACAAATGCAATCGGGTTCGACTTGGACCCCAGTGTAAGACTTCTGTCTTTTTTCCTGCTGCATTGAGCAGATATCCAGTTTGAGATGATACCGTACATTTTAATATGTAATTAAAAAGGCGCATGTAATCATCCTCCAACAGATCGGCATTTGCAATAGTTCTAAGCTTGTCCTGCATATTGTGGATTCATGGGTCTGAGTAAGAGACAACTTTTAGGACATCTCGCGATACAGATCAGAAATTCTATCTTGAATACACTTTATTTAGGAAGCTTGAGTTCCAAGGCCATCAGAACAGAGGATCTTTGTGCCGTGCGTGTTGGATTGTTAAATTCTTTCAAAATTTCGTCATGCAATTTAATCCTTGCAAGATTGAATGAGAAACTCACTACTATTCAAATGCCGGCTGTAAGGTGTACAGTAAAGATGACGGTGGAATATTCGACTCTTAAAATTTGCGGTATTAGGGTTGAATTGATCCCTCCTCGTATCGTTTGATAGGTTTTGTAGTGGGGCTCTCCCATTGCTAGAGGCTTCCAACGATCCAAAAGCTGCAACCTCCTGTAGGGACTTTATGGTTTTTTCATTCTTAGATGCTTCATTGTTGGAAGCTTCTACCCATGGGGTAATTCCACTGCGAAACTCACTATCTTGAAAGCCACATGAATGTCTGGAGAACAGATTATTCAATTCTATTTGCAACCTGCGATTTCATCAACAATCACTTCTCTGTTGTATACTATTTGTAGGATTCAATCAGCCGAACCTAGATGCAGGTTGTTTGGGACCTAAGAAACTTCAAGGAAAAGTGCGCAGAGACTGTGTTCTGTGGAATTCCAGCCCACTTATGCAGTAGCTTTTCTCTACAGGCATCATTGGCGCGTCATCTAGCAGCAGCAGGATTTGATTCATGGATTTTAGAAGTTCGGGGATCGGGACTTAGCAAGCGAGAAGGGGAGCCAACGTCCAGCGAACTTGGTGGGACTGATGGGGCTCTTAATGGAGCCGTTCAAGATGCATTCGTCCAAGCCACCGTGAAATCTGCCACAAAAGCAGCCGAAAAGAAGGGAAATGGTGCTGTTGCACAGGAGAAGAATGAGAACCCTCTGAAGCCGCAATCCAATGCATTGGCAAAAGTCGATAAGTCCTCCAAGGAAGAAGATTCGGTAGCATCTCGGATGACCAGTAGAATAACCCAGATATCACAGACTCTGAGAAGCTTGGTTAGCGAAGGACAATCCCGGGTCTCCGTAGCTAACCTTTTAGAGCAGGTAAAAGCTGGTTTCACCCAATATGATGTTGTCAATCACTTCAGTTCATTTTCAGGATACTGTCAAATGCGTGTTTCAAGAACCGCACTCGGTCGCACAATTTCGGATCAGGTTCAGCCACGTATGATTCTCATTAAATTTACTAAGACTTGTTAAACTGCAATGCAGGTTACTTCTCTGCTGGAGGATAAGGTGCTGAATGAGCGATTTGAGAATCTTCGTGAGAGGCTTACAGCCCTGTTGGAGGGACCACAAACGAACTCTGTGGCATCTCAGGTTGCGGAATTCAGTAATAGTGTTACAGCGTTGCTGGAGGAAGGACAACGCTCTGTTACTCCAAGCGTTACCAGCTTGCAAGTAGGAATTCATTGCTTACATGCGTAAAATTGTACTCGCTTGCACAAAATTGTTCACAGCGTTCACAGTTGGGACATTTTAGGTTTTTAAAGTCGTTGTGTAATCATTTTAGGATTTCGAGTGTCCCGCAGTGATCCAGAATGTGACTTGAATGATAGTGCATTGAAACAACACAGCTTGCCGTGCAAATGCATGTCTAATAGGGCACAACAGGTCAAAAGTTAGTCTCTAGGAAAGATCATTAGGATTTATCTTTTTTCTACGTTTATTTTTTCTTTCCTTTTTTCCCTTTTTGGGGGTAGCAGATGCGGCCTAGGTTTCTCAATACTTTAGATTTATATTTCTCATTGAACTGATTTGCAACTTGTCTGAAAACTAAATCTTTCACTTGGCATGTCTTTACAGGAAAGATTAACCGCAACAATTACCGAGTTTCAGGAGGTCCTTGAATTGATTGCCAAGTATGACTGGGATTTTGACACTTATCTTCAAGAGGATGTTCCAGCTGCTGTGAGTTCCAGCAACCCGCCATAGCTAGTTTTCTGGCTGAGGTCTTTCACTAGTCCTGAATTGGTTAATATTTTTGGAAGTTCCATCTTCCAGATGATAAGCTTCAATTTCAATGCGCTACAGAGGTACTTCGGTCGAGTTCATAATTAATCATGCTTACAAGTGGAATCTCAGTCTAGCAAATATACAGTCACATATAATGTTAGAAATGTATTTCCCAGGGTCTAGGATCTTAAAGGGGACACGACCTGGCCACTTGCTGTTACTAAGAGAAAAAAAGAAAAGAAAAGTGCTCATTTTCTGCAGAACTATGTCATTGCCCTATGCAGATGGAATATGTAATCAATCATACAGGATCTCCCGATGGGAAAGTCTTGGGAGTGGGTCATTCTATGGGTGGTATTCTCCTGTATGCTATGCTGGCCATTCGCGGTAGGTTTGATCACTTATCTTTTGGGTCGAAGAAAATCTGAAAATAAAAATAAGTATAAAAATCCGTTCTTTTTTACTTTCATTATCTTGCTTACTTAGAGACGTTGTACACTAAGAAATGTCAAAAAATCATGCGTGGTATTTTCGTGGTTCTGTTCTCCATACCAAACATGTTCATTCATAACAAAAGTTACGAAGCATGGTGCGAATGGTTTTTCATGTTTGTGGTTGACAGAAGAAAGAGCAGGACTTGCTGGAGCGGTATCACTGGCATCATCATTGGATTATGCGGTGTCTGATACCTCACTTAAGATGCTTCTACCTCTGGTAAGTTTTCAGCATTGGAAATGTTGGCAAAATTGTGCACACGCTGTTGTACTTGCTTCTCCTCTTTAGGTTTACCTCCTCCTGGTACATAATCTGAGTCTTCGAGGATTGGCTGAAACTTATTATGCCTTGTGCTTATATTATGATGAAGGAGATATGCTTAAATGGTGTTTCAAATTGCAGACAGATCCTGCGCAAAGGTTGAATGTACCTGTGGTTCCTTTAGGAGCATTGATGACTGCAATCCATCCACTTTCAACACGTCCTCCATACGCTTTGGCCTACTTGGGCTACCAAGTCTCTGCCCGTTCAATGATGGAACCCGAACTTTTCAAGAAGCTAGTTTGCAACAATTTCTGTAAGTTTTTGTGCCAGATTCCCAAGGCTATGGCAGTCATATTTTCGCATTAATTCCTAGATTATTTTTTTCTAAATATCCTTGTCTAATTATGTGTGCATTAGGTACAATTCCTGTAAAGTTGTTATTACAATTAGCAACTGTCTTTAAGCCTGGAGGCTTGCAGAACCGAGACGGCACCGTGAAGTATATGGAACGTCTCCATAGCTGCAAAGTCCCTGTGCTTGCTGTTGCTGGCGACGAAGACCTCATCTGTCCGCCGATAGCAGTATCTGGTAAGCAACGTGCATACGCTATTTTATAGACAGAAATACGAAGGTTTGGCGTGTTTCAGCTTTGTGTTTCCAGTTAGCTGAGGTGTTGGTGAAGCATATGTTGAAGCCATGGTTTTTTCGCGGTTCATCATGTATGCAAACTAGTGGTCCGACTATTGCTACTAAGTGCCTGCCTGCTCTCAGATGTCTAGGCGATGTATATTCAATGTAAGATATTATTTTTTCTTAATTTTTAAAGAGGAAGGCAGTTGTCTTGACACGAATAGCTTTGAGCATCACTGCCATTATATCTTCAGCTCATGATATTTTAAACACGTTGTGTCTCTGTTTCTTCCAGACACGTTAAAAGTTTTTCCACAAGCCAATGTAACCTACAAACTCTTCGGTGGTGAGGATGATCGACATTATGGCCACTATGATCTTCTTTGTTCTCGTACAGTAAGTTTCTTGTTCGGGCTTCCCTTCGATATTTCCTTTCATTTGGAGTCTTTCCTTCACTTCTGCTATTCTGCTCCAATTTTTCCTGAAATTTCTGTCACGAGGCTGAAAATATTTACATCTTTTGGAACACAAACCCACGCTTGAGGTACGTTGTATCTTCAAATAATACTTCAGGCACCATCTAACATAGATACCACTCATTATTTTACAGGCAAAGCGAGAAGTATACCCGGTCATTACAGACTTCCTGGTCAAGTGCGACAATACTAAGGTTGACTCAAGTGGATAGGTTTCAGCTTTAGAATGTTTCAGCTTTGTGCAGGTGGCTATATGTTGCGGAGACGCGCTCTCTGGGGCATGAATGATACCTATTTCTGAGTTGCCTTTGAGTTAATTTTAATGAGATGAAAGTAGGTCCGATCAGTTTCCTCATGTGGACATTTGAAAATCGTTGCAAAATTTTTAAATAAGGGTTTCTGGCGGTTCCCATGATCACTATTTTGTAATGATTTGAAGTTCACTTCAAACATTCAAAATTTGTTGGCATCAATATGTTCCGAAGAATCAGAACAATTGTTTTAGACGTAGACTGTTCAACAGTAGGATAGGTGGTGAATAGCTGTGATGATACCCCGAGAAGCGCTTCTCAGGAAAATTTCTAAGAACTTTGTTCACAACACAGCACACGTATTATCCAAGATGGAATTAGAAGAAAATTTCTGAAGAGGACACAACTAAGATCAAAGGTATATAAAAGTTGTACAGAGAAGCATTAAGGAGAATAGGATGAGAACTGGAGATTCTACACCATCAAAAGCACAAAGCATTACAATATATAGATCTGTGTGAAGAAATCAACGGTAAGTAGTTCTTTAAAATAGAATTCAAATTTTCATGACATGGACTTTTCCACTTTGATGGACTGTGAATATGTAAAATGAATACAAGCCTACAGTACAGGTATGAATTTGCATGTATACAGGGATTTTGTTTGTTTGTTTGTTTTTTTTTTTTTTTTTGCATGAAATATGATAAATAAATAAATAAAATACGTCACTTCCTGTCACATGTGTAACGTAAGAGATATTTATTCTCCATATTTGTGAACTCTTAAGGGTTGCCCTGTTTGAGGAATGCATCAGGTAATTTTCATGGCGTGTTGTGCAACACAGCACAAGGTAGCAGATGTGGTGCACGTTGAGGTAGCAACTATTTTAGTAATTTGTACAAGAATCATAGGACATAACATAGTTATTAACTTGAAAATCCCCAAAATCTTCCATGGAGTTCAATTGTATGGGAATAAAGGCGTGATAGGAAACGTAATAGGGCAGCAACTAGATCTTCAACAACAATCAGGATATTCAACCACTAAGAATTCCCAAGGTAAACAAGATGAGCACTTCCGATGTATTTTATAGATGTATAAATAAAAAGAAATTGAATTGAGTTATATCTCTTGTTAACCACATTACATTTCAATAGCTTGAAAGCTTTAAGTTAAATGAAAAATTTAATGATCGGCTGTAATCTTTCATTTTGTAGAATTTCAATCAATTTAGCGTGCATCTTTAAATTGGTTGTTTGCAAGATGTATTTTGATGGTTTTTGGTGCACCTTTGTTTTATCTTTTGCAGCGTTTGCAATAGAGAAATTTAGAGGTGTCTTCGTACAGTGCATTCAGAAAATAAGCTCAATATTCTGCTGTTGTGCAGCAAGCTTGCAGCCTTGTGATGAAGGAGACGTAAAGTTTGGTGGCTGAAATAGTCATTGCGATTCTGACTACAACTAATCCTCGTTGTAAAGATCTTCATCGGAATCCTGTCCACAAGCTACTGGCGAGGCAAACTTATGAAAGTGTGATTGCTGCCCTTGACGATACATCGATGTTGATATGCTAATGGCCCTTTGATCAAGACCGATACAAAGACAATGTTGATTGTTGTAGACGAATCGAGGAAAGTTCATATGGGTCCTCCCCAAGATCGAATCTCCAAAATAGTGAGTGATCTCGTCCGAAAAGTAAAGCAATTTCGATGACGTGAAACACTGGAAGCTCTTTGACAAGCATTCACTTGGGTCCTTCACTTGATACATAAAAATTCCGCTGAGAATCTCTGTTTGCAATATAGTGTTAACTCAGTTTCTAATCGGTTAAACCTGGGTTGAATGATTTTCGGGCATGTTTCAATCCTCTAGAAAACGATCTCAAAGCTCTTCGTTAGTGACGGGGTTTACGTAAGCAACTCATCACCACAGAAGTGTTACATGGCAGATGGTTGGCTAGGTATGGTGAACATTGAACGAACTTGAAACACCTAAGATTCATTCCTGGTTATCACGAACGTGGTCAAGAAGAGTCATTTCCAGTATATTCGGTGACGTAACGACGGGTGTCAACTTGGTTAATTAGAAAAACATAAAGGTTTTTGTTTCGAATTAATCTTATATAAACAAAATTGATGCAAACTGAGTGTTTCCAGACCGAAATCATTAAGTAGTACTTGTGACTTAGGCTATCTTAACTGACTTAGAAGTTGCAATTCTATAATATTTGGGTAACAGTAATTGTTTTATGCTAATACTCCAATGTCAATAAATGTTTCCAGCTTCAACGTGGATGATTTATTAAGCCTGTTTTATTTTCATCTTGGAGCGTGTAATTTCATTGCAAAATGGATTATGCGTAAATTAAGATAGTAGCAAAGAGAAACATGTTGTTCATGTTCGAACTCTTCGAGTAAATCAGAAAAAAGCAACATTCCTACTTACCAACAGGTGAACATTGTTGAAAATACAAGCTTGAGGATCCAAAAGCCCAACCAACAAGAACTGTTTAAGAAAATATATGTTTTGAGTTGGTCACCTTGACCGTCAGCTCGGTAAAAAGGATGTGATCACAATGGCCCAGGTAGAGTCTCTCAGAGAATTTTGTCTTAAATCTAGGAGAATCCAGCTACACTCCGCGGCAGTGAGATGATCCAAAGTAGATCTACCTCTCTTCGTGCTTGCTACAGAGTAAATCTCATATGTTCTATCCAAAAAAATTCACACAAAGCACAGCATGTGGAAAATCAAAATGCTCTCATTGCGTGTACTCATATGCAAAGGATTAAGATTGCAACAAGATTGCTGAGTTCAGGGTTGTTGGTGACTGTCGATGTAACCATTGTCAACTAAAACCTTCTCACGTTTGGCTCTCTCCAAATCACTATCCACCATCATGGCTACCAACTGCTTGAAGTTAACCTTGGGCTGCCAACCCAGTAACTCTCTAGCCTTCTGGGCTGATCCTCTAAGATTATCCACTTCGGAAGGACGGAAATACCTGAAACATACGAAAAACACAACTTGTCAGTATTTCAAGTTCCCAAGCATTGCAATTTAGCCGTTGAAGGAAACCAGTTCGATACTTCGTAAAGTTCACGACATGTCGAAATTTGTGAAAGCAATGAACTGAATCTGAAATGAGAACTGACCTTGGATCGATCTCAACATGATCCTTCCAATTGAGACCTACATAACCAAAGGCTTCCTCCAAAAACTCCTCGACAGTGTAAGAGTTCTCAGTGGCAAGAACGTAGTCATCAGGCTTGTCTTGCTGCAACATGAGCCACATGCCCTCCACGTAGTCTCCAGCAAATCCCCAATCACGAGAGGCCTTCAGGTTTCCAAGGAAAAGCTTCTTCTGAAGTCCAATCTTGATGCGGCCAATTGCGCGGGTAATCTTCCTGGTGACAAAGTTCTCACCCCTGCGTGGAGACTCGTGGTTGAAAAGAATCCCATTGCAAGCAAACAGGCCGTAGGCCTCCCTGTAGTTCACTGTGTAAAAGTGAGCAGCTACCTTGGCAACGGCATAAGGGCTGCGGGGATGAAATACTGTAGTCTCATCCTGGGGAGGGGGAGTGGCACCATACATCTCTGAGGACCCAGCTTGGTAATACTTCACCTGACAAGATTCAAAAAGGTGGATGAGAAACAATGCACAGTTAATGTTGAGCAGCTTAGCTGAACACCAGTCTTGAATAGTAATACATATAGACATCCATTTTAATCAGCGGGGACTTGAAGATAGGGCAATTTGGTTAGATGTTTGAGTTACTAGACTTACTAGGCGTCCTGTACTCTCGACGTGAATGCGAACAGCTTCTAGGAGCCTCAAAGCTCCAGTGGCAACAACATCAGCTGTGTAATCCGGATTCTCAAAAGAAACACCAACGTGAGACTGAGCACCCAAATTATAGACCTCATCAGGACAAATAGTGTCCACCCACTTGCGCAGAGAGGAGGCGTCTGAAAGATCACCATAATGCAATTTCATACGCGCACTAGAGTTGTGAGGGTCAATGTAGATATGCTCAAGTCGCTGCGTGTTGAAGTTCGAGGATCTTCTAATAATGCCATGTACTTCGTACCCTTTCTTGAGGAGGAACTCCGTTAAGTAAGATCCATCCTGGCCAGTGATACCTGTAATGAGCGCCTTCTTCAGAGGTGCGTTTTCTGGCGCCATACTTACCAGATCTGTGAAAGCTGCAGCAGACATAATCACCACGTAACTAAAGGGTCACGAAAACCTCCAAAATTTCCCTTACATCACTTCGAGAAGGCAGGATGTAAAGATCTACACTGCAACAACAATCAATCCTCGAGAACCGCACTCACCTGACCACGATAACGCGACATAAAATCTCACAAAGCAGACAAAGAGAATTGAGATGTACGAGACACGTAACAACCCTGAAGCTACGAACATGTCGAACTACCCATTTCCAAGAATCATTAATCAAGAACACAACAACATCCCACATTTCTCAAACAACATACAAATTCCATAAAACTGTGAGAAGAAAAAAGCGAACAAACGACTCAAAGTCGAAACTGCAATGGCGATCCAGCGAATGTCAACAAAAGCCCCAACTCTCTCACCTGCTCTTCAGATACCACTGACCCACTTCAATCCAGTAAATCAAACCCCCTCCCACAAGCACACTTCCGCGTTCACAGTTCCACACACATGGGTAATGAACGAATTCAGCGCTTCAAATACAACCTCAACAATACCATTACCAAGAATAAAATAATGAAAAGGGTATCCTTACCAGTCGGCTTGTGTGCCATGACGACGTACCCAGCAACAATCCAAAAATAATGCCCACGTTTTCACGAGTCGTGCAGCTCCACACCGAAACGTGGAATTCTTGCCCCGACCCGAAGTGTCTAATCTCGGAACCCGGATCCCACACCTTCTGAAATCCACCTTCCAAATCTCTCCACCTACACGGCTCACGTCTCACACAAACCCAAGATTTGAATTATAAAACAAAACCCATGGAACAGTGCGCTGAAGAAATGGAGATCAATGGACAAGAACGGGGTCGGATTCCAGTTGGGACTCAATCGCAGTTTCAATTGGCTTTGCTGACAATCCCCTTTCTCTAATTCTGGGCATCGGCGCAAACGGGCTCGCTCATAAAACCACTCACAGCCTCGGCATCGTCCTCCAACCCCCCACTAGTGAGTAGGGACTAGTGAGTAGTGAAGTCACTACACTGATTCATTAGTGTGTTACTAATTTACTATCGGCAGCTGGAATATCCGAGCTCAAGTTGTTGCGGAGTTGCGTGGAAGTTGGATTCTATAAGCTTTTTCTTTTTTCTGATTATTCCTTTTGCTTTTATTTATCTATTTATTTATTTATCTTCTGTGCACCAGAGTTGATCATTTTGGATTTGGTGCATCTTCTTGTGCGATGCCTTAAACCAATTATCTCCACTAAGTAATTTAATGTTGTAGTGTTTGGAAATTTTAATTTAATTTTTTTATTGTTCTTTTGGTTTTTTATTTATTTTTATTTATTATTGATAATATTTGAAAGATGATGTTATTAATGTCATATATATACATATTTATCTAAATAAGAAGTGTTAGATAGAAAGTAAATATAAATAGGTTTGATATTATCTTATAGCAAAGTTTCTTAGAAGCTTTGTAGATGCATATTTATCTTTATACATATTTTTATGGTTGATTGGTAAGATAAACACTTAATTAATAAGTTAGCCTTATATTGCACATATGGGTATTTTGTGATAAAAACTCAGAATGTGACACGCATGTAATAAACTTGTCTTGCAAGTTAAGACACATGTCTTATAAATTGAACACATGTTTGAAGTCTTATAAAATGTTGCTATATAGCTCTTAGTTAGATAGTATACACGGAGACAAGAGTGAAGCTTTCTTCACTCTTAATAACACCTTTCTAATCTTTAGTCTTGTTTCAGGACTTAAAAGTTTTTTTTGTCTTTGGCAATGGCAATTTTGATTTAATATTATACCACCTTAGAGTGGTTCTCTAGTCTTTTAAAGTGACACAAGAGTGTATTGATCTTTTAATTCTTTGAGATTCATGTTCTTAATAATTTGACAAGAATGCTAAATCATTTTATATATTATATTTTTAGAAGTGAATAAATTATTCTACTACCATTATTGTATTTTGAAGATTGTGGATCATGAATCTTTAAAGTAACATTTAATTTTGTAACATTGATTGTTTTTCTTAAAAAAAGAAAATTATTCTTCTTTATGAAAATTTATATTTGGTATTAGAGATTATAGATTATATTCCTCTAATTTGACTTGTGAATTTATTTGAGTTGTTTATGAAGGAAAAAATTATGGATGCTAGTGTTAGTAGAAGTGAAAATAAATTTGCAACAACTGCAGATCTTCACGAGCTTGTCAACACTCTTAAGATAGAAAACTTACATATTTTCAACATGAATCATGGAGGTATTATTTATATATTCATAAAAAAAGTCAACAATGAAATTCCAAGACTATGCCAAAAGAATTAGCAATTGAAAGAAGTAAATAAATCAAGTTTATAATCAAATCTCAGAAGGCTCGCTACTACAAGTATGAGAGAAGCAAAGATATGTATGTCAAAGAAGTTTGATGGAACAAGATCAAATGTTTTGAGAATTTCTACAATAATTGAAGGTTTATTTAAGGTTGCATCATTTCTAATTTCTTCATGGATTTACTCAAGTAGGATTTATAGGTGCACTTCTAATAGGGAGTCCTCTCTCTTGGTTTGCACCTTTGATGAAAAAGGATTTATAATTACTCTATGATTTAAATTCATTCTTGAAAGTATTTATGACCACATTTAGAGAAAGTATTTGAAAAAGGATAGTAGAAACAAAACTTGTATCTTTACAACAACAATTATGTTTAGCCACAATATATACTATTAAATTCTAAAACCTTACTTGTAACATTGTCAAGAGAACAAGCTTTTTTAAGAAAAGACAAAGTCATTGATTGCAAGTGGGTTGTAAGAAAGTATAATATTATCCAAATGAACTCAAAGATAAAATGAAAATCCAAAGGCTAAATATAAATTTTAAATTAAGTTCTTTTTTGTACTAAAATATATCCAATTCTTAATTTTAATCTCAAATCCAAATCTCTTCTCACTAAAATATCTATAACTCATTTAATACTTAATTAATATAAATAAAGTTTAGTTCATAGAATTTAATTCAAGTCATAAATTTCAAAATATTAAAATCAATAAATAAGTTTCAAAGAAATTGAGAACCAAACTAAGAAAAAATTGGCCCCTTGCTATAGTTGCAGCCCTTAAAACTCCTGTTTATAAATTTGATTAGTTCTTCTTTATCATAGCTTTATTTTTTGCATGCTAAGGCTTATGTCATGATTATACAAGTATATAGAATTAAGTAAAAATAGATTAATTTCATAATATCTTTTAGAAAAACTTCCTAGAAGCTTCTTAGACATTGTTTTGACTTTACATATGTTTTTAGTTGATTGATAGGTTAGAAACTTGGTCAACAAGCTATCCATGTACTACATATGTTGGTAACTTATGGAACAAGTTTTTATGTGGTGGCCATATAAAAAAATTGCTTTGCAAGTCAAGATATGTGTCATGCAAAGTCAATATATTTTTGAGGTCCTATAGAATGTCGCCATATAGATTTTAGGTAGATAGAATATATAGAGGCAAGAGTGAATCCTTCTTCACTTTTATAAATTCTTTTCTTGCTTCTAGTCTAGATTCAAGAGTCTTTAATTTCCTTATCATTTGGCAATAGTCATTCCACTTTCTTTTTAATATATATACTTATTTATTTTTATTTTTTTATATTTATTTATTTACTTTCATGAAGTTCTTGTCTATGATAGATTGAAAAGAATACACTTACAATATTAGAGCCTTTTCTTTTTTTAATTAAAAATAGATTTTTTTTTTTTTTAATAAGACATAGGCGTATAAGAAGTTATGGAGTATCCTTTTTTAAACTGATATTATTTTTAGTATCTTCTATGATGTCCAGTTCTTTCTTCTATAAGACTTGAGCAAAATAAGATATTTTTTTTTCTAAATATTATCATGGCATAGCTTATTGAAATGAAGAGTGCAATGGCATAAATATAAGAATAATTGAAGAAGTTATTGATTGCGATGCATCAACTTAGTTTACCACCACAAGAAGCAATAAGAATGGCAAAAAATGAAGTTATAGATATGATTGAAATTACTTCAACATATGCACCAAATCATGTCCTTTCTCTTATAGTAGAACATCTTTTTAGTATTAGAAAACTAAAGGTTATCCTACCTAAGAAGATTAATGACACAAGATCCAAGTTAAGAGGATTTATCAATTAAGTATAACTTGTGATTGAACTTCAATTCCAAAGCTATCCAATTCCAGAATCACAAGTTAGATTCATTGATACACTTCTTTCAGATTCAACAATATTATAGTTTTCATCTTTTTTTGAATGACAAGATCCAATATTGGATAATTTGAAGGCTTTTTTAGTAGAGTTTCGATCCATGTATGAAAAAAATGATGCAACTTGTGTTGAAACCAAAAAGATCCATATTTTGCAACAAAGCAATCAATTTGTAACATTATATGCTTCACAATTTTGATAACTTGGAATTAATATCGAATAGGATGATGATGTACTTATTAGCCAATGTCTCTATGAATTACAATATTGTCATGGACATACATATTTATCTTGATAATTATCTAAATAATAAGAATATGTAGAAATAACTCAAAATAGATAAATATGATATTATCTTGTAGAAAGTTTCCTAGAAGTTTTATAGACACTGCTTTGTCTTTATACATGTTTATAGGTGATTGATAGGTTGAAAACTTGGCCAATAAAGAGGCCACATGTCGACATGTTGACCACTTGTAGTACAAGTTGGATATATGGTGCACATCTAAGAAACTTGCATTGTAAATTAGATATGTGTCCTGCAAGTTGGATGCGTATTAGAGGTCATATAGTATGTTATTACATATTTCTTAGTTAAGTAGTATATATAAAGGCAAGAGTGAGGTCTCCTTACTCTTATCAACTCCTTTCTTACTTTTAGTCTAATTTCTATAGTCTTATGTTTTCTAATCTTTGGCGATAGCCATTCCAATTCTTTATTGAATATAAATATTTTTTTTATTTTATCACTTTCTTTTTGACACAAATTCTATGAATTTATATATCTTCTTTCAGTTTGTATCCTTGAAATATTGACAAGAATGCACATACAATATCAAGGCTTTGTCCTTTCTTGATTAAGAATCGATTATTTGTTTTTATTGATAAGCCATAATCGTATTAGAAGTTGTAAATTACCTTCCTCTAAACTAATATTATTATTATTTTTTTTATTTTTTGATTCTTGAATATTATATTTTGTGAGAATAGACACTTTTTTTTTTTTTTATTATGCTAACATGAAAAAGCTTGCTGAAATGAAGAGTGCAATGGTTCAAATGCAAGAACAAATGAGAGAATTAATGCTTGCAATGCATCAACTTAGTATACTACCACAAGGAGCAACAAGATTATCATGCAATGAAGATATAGAGATGATTGGAGTTGCTTCAACATCTATACCAAGCCATACTATTGCTCCTACAATGGAACATTGTTCAAGTTATAAAGAACCAAAAATCAAATTATTTAAGAAATTTGATGGCACAAGATCTAAGTTTCAAAGATTCATGAATCAAGTACAACTAATGATTGAACTACAACCTCAAAGTTATCTAACTCAAAGATTACAAGTTAGGTTTATTAAAACACTACTTTTAGGTTCTGCTTTATCATGGTTTTCATCATTTCTTAAATGACGTGATTCAATATTGAATAATTTGGAAGCACTCTTATTGGAGTTTCGATCTATATATGGAGAACATGATGCAATCTATGTTGCAACCAACAAGATTTGTATCTTGTCATAAAAAAGGTAATTAGTGACATTATATGCTTTACAATTTTGATAATTAGCAAAAAATATCAAGTGGGATGATGCAACACTTATCAACCAATTTTTCTATAGATTACAATATGAAGTAAAGAAATTGATTCTTAATTTATTTGATCTTCAGACATTGGATCAAGCAATTAACTTTGTTGTGAAATGTGATTA